AAAGTTCAGACATTGGGATGAGCACCTCTTCTACAGATACCTGTATCCCCCAAAGAACCTTGTTAATGGAGGATGTCCCCTGCAGTGTTTAGAACACAAACAGGATAGAAACAACCCAGATATCTCACAAAGGGACTGGTCGAACAAATGATCACATATCCCCACCATGGAAACCAGCATAACATGGAGAATGATGACACACAGCACTATGTGCAGTCACTGCTGTGAGTACCATATGCATTTTGATCTAATTCTCTCAACAACCCTATGAGGTAGAGATTATTACTGTCACCATATTATAGATGAGAAAACTGTGGCACAGAGCAGTTAAATCATTTGCCTAAGGTCACACAGTCAGTGATAAAGCTAGGCTTCAAACCCAGGCAGTCTGGTCTCAGAACCTGGGCTCTTAGCCAGCAAGCTATAGTTTTATGGAAAGATTTTTCCTGGCTTGGAAACTGCTTGTGATATACTGTTCATGAAAAAAGCAAGTTACCAAACAGTATGTGCTATATAATCCCATTTTTGTAGGAGGAAAAAAAAGGCATAAATTCACATGAATAGGAAAAAACCTGAAAGGATATATGTACAAAATAGAGCTGGCTTTTGGAGATGCTGAACTCATGGGCGCTTTATGTAAGTTTTATGCATCTCTGCATTTTCAAAGTTTTTTACAGTAGACCTCTACGCTTGTGCAGTAATAATAAATACTAATGTGTATGGAACGTTTTCTACACATCTGACACTTTGTGTGTCCTGTTTCATTTAATCTTCACAACACCCTTTGAGATTGACACTGATTTTTCTCCACTTTACAAAGGAAACAAATTCAGAAATATTGATTGTCTTACCCAAGGTCACACAGCAGAGGCAGGATTTGAACGCAGGCTGCCTGACTCCAAAGCTCATGTTTGTTAAATGAATGAATAATTGATTTAGCCACATTTTCACCAGGCATGCCCAGAGCAGGATCACACTCTTGGTGCGGACAAGCTTCCAGAGGGAATGGAGGGCTCACCTACCTCCTTGGTCACTGCCTGTGACTGAGTTTTACAATTCTTGACTCAGGTGAGGAGGGCATGGTGAGTATGCTCATAGAGCCCTATTTTTGCAGAAAATGCATGACTATGTGTGAAAGCTGCAGTCTCTCTGACTTGATTCATCATACCTCGAGGGAGCCTGGCCACTCAGACCGGGATGCTGTGGTCACAGAACCACTTGCTCACCTTCGTTTCTATAACACAGGTGCCAAGCCTGCTTACATAGTCTCACATTTATAATAACCCCGTGAGGAAAGCAGAACAGCTCATCTTATTTGACTCATAAGGAAACTGAGACTGTGAGTGGGTTAGTAAATGGAAGGGAGAATTGTAAAGTAGTTAAAAGCACAAGCTGTGGCGTCAGATGGATGTGGGTTGAGTCCCAGCTCTGCCGTTTATTAGCTGTGTGACTTTGGGTGCTCCTACCACCTCTCTGAACAGTAGTTTCCTTATCTTTATTTATTTATTTTTTTTAAAGATTTTTTTAATTGGGGAATTGGGGTAAGGAGAACAGACACGTTGCTGTCCTTTTGTTCTTCTGTCTAGTTGTGGAGGACGTTGCTTCACTGGCCCAAGCTGGCACCATCATTGCGCTCTTCCCAGGCGAGGCGGATCAGTTGCTGGCTTCTGGACGGCTGCTCACTGCGGCTGCTGGCCACTCATGCTGGCTGCTGACTACATATGGTAGCCCATGGCAACCCACTGCCACAGGGGCTGCAGCCTACGCCGTCGCCGGTGACTCACAGCTGAGCTGTTGTTCAGCATCTTAGCTGTGGAGGGAAGTGTCACTGGCCCTCATATGTGGGATCCGAACCGGGGCCCTCTGGCGTCCTAAGCCAGTTCTTAACCATCGCGCCACTCGGCTGGCCTGTTTCCTTCTCTTTAAAACAGGAGTGATGATGCCTGTACTCACAGGCTTGAGGGGAAGATTAAATGAAATAATGTATGGAAAGGTCTTGGTCCAGTGCATGGCATTCCAGAAATGACAGCTTTTAGTCATTGAACAAATATTCATTGAGCACCTACTATGGATTGAGCACCAAGTGCTGAGGATACAACAATCAAAAGTCCCCATTCTCCTGGTGCTTGGATCTGATATCGGGTGGGAGGAGTGTTTCAGGCAGAGAGAGCAGCAGGTGCACCCAGCACTTTTTTTCTTCAACTTTTTATTATGAAAACTTTCAAACACATACCAAAAAAGTTGAAAGCCTTGTTCAGTGAAAAGTCATTCACCTCCCACCTAGATTCAACAAATAACATTTAACTCTATTTGTTTTATGACATATCTGCCCTAGATCCCCTGTGCTTTTTTGTACCAGGTGACCTGCCTTGAAGATCTGCAGACAGACAATCTGGAACTGTAGTTAGGAAACAGGGGCCTTTGGCAAGAGTCAGAGGGGAAAAGAGAACATTCTCCTTTGAAAAAATCTGTTGCCAGAGGCCAACTGCAGGGGACACCTCCCTTTATGAAAGAAAGCCTCTCTGTTCAGTGAGGAGCTTGGAGCTCTTGTCAAGCAGCCAGTCCCTCACTGGGGCAGGATTAGGATGCACAGGTGTTTGGGGTGCCCTGGACCCAGGCTAGTAGGAGTCACATTCATTTATCCCCCACACAAGGGAGTCCCTCCTTAGGCACCCAGTTCGAAAGAAATGCTGATGGCCAGAAAAAGGCCAGAAATCAGAACAAGGGCTGACTTTGAGGGGAATATAGACTTCTGATCTCTGACCTCTAGAAGTCAGGACACCTGCTCCCTTATTTATTGTTGAGGTAGCAGAGGGCTTGGAATCCTCTGTTTCTAGATTTTTCTAATTGGAAGAAGACAGACGTTTTCTGGGCTGGAGTTAGGTGGCTAAACACCCAGGTGCGCAAGTCAGACTGCCTGGGTTTAAACTCCAGATCTACTACTTACTAGCCCTGGAGCCCTGGGCAAGTCACTTAACCTTTCTGTACCTCAAGTTGTTCGTTTGTAACCTAAGGCTAATAGTACCCACCTCAGAGGGTCTATTAACTGAGTCATACATAGTAAGTACCTAGAACAGTGCCTAGCAATGGGAAGTGCTTAGTAAATGGTTAGCTCCAGAAAACATCTGAAGCAAAAGTAGCCAGCATTAGTGGTTTGCAGTCAATTTTTCTCTGTGCATGCGTTAACATATTGTTGTTACTATTTTACAAAAGTGGGAACATACTGTACACACTGCTCTGTAACTTGCTTTTTCACCAAATAGTATAGCCTCCATGCTATTTTTTTAATATACCTTAAAAGCATTTTCCTCTGGATTTTTCTGCACATATTCAGAACCATCATATTGGTAACAAGTAGTTTTTACTTAACCAGTCCTCTACTATTGGACATTTAGGTTATTCTCAATTTTTTTCCTTCTGTAAATAAAACTGCTGAACAAGAAGTGAGTGATGCCACTTGACTGTATGACCTCTTGGGTCTTAGTTTCTTCATCTAAAAACAAAATGACAAATTCTACCAGGTGATAAAAATTTCCCATGATCCACATATGAATCATTTCCAAGACGTCTCTTGACAAGTAACCATCAGTTTCTGCTTGCATTCCCTAGTGACCGGGTGCTCACTACCTCATGAGCAGCCTGTTTCATTGGGCAGCTGTCAATGAAGTATCCACTCATGTTGGGCCAAAATCTGTCTCCCTGTAACTCCTAGCCTAGTTTTATACTCTGGGGCCCCACAAATTCAGTCTATACTCAGTGGCCAGTGGCTGGGGCTGTGTAGAAGCTAAGGGAATTTGATTCCTTCTTTCTCCCTTCCTTCCTTCCTCCCTCCCTCCATCCCTCCCTCCCTTTCTTCCTTCTATTCTTCCTTCCTTCCTTCCTTCCTTCTTCCCTTCCTTCCTTCCCTCCTTCTTTCCTTCCTTCCTTCCTTCTTCCCTCCCTCCCTCCCTCCCTTCTTCTCTCCTTCCCACTCTCCTACTCTCCATCCCTCCTTCTCTTTTTCCCTTTCTCCCTCCCTCCCATTCTTGAAGCTTATTATATATGAGACCTTCTGCTAGGCACATGGATGTGAGCAATTGGAGAAGTTAGCTGCTGCAGGGTCAGACCTAGATCACAGGTGCCCTAAATCCCATTTCCAGGGACTGTCCCCCACTGTGGTATGGGGGTGCTGAAGCTGCTGGCCTTCCTCAAATGCACTGTAGTACTCAGGCCCCAGGCAGAGTCCTGGGATGCTCTGTGAGGAGGTGACCAGAGGTGGGGGCAACTTCCACCTGGAACTAGATAAGGACTCCTGCCAGCTGGACCCAAGCCTCTTTTCTTTCTCCCCACCTACCCTTAAAAGGCTTAGAAACAAGTAGATTTAAATACAGATTCAAATATAAATAATTTCAACTGTATAACTCTGAGACGTTAGTTCTCTGTGTGGCCTGTCTATATCCTCCCCATCATTAATATTGTTCTTTGTTTTCATTTATTCATGGATTAGTCCTCATTCAGTACATCCTTATTAATAGCTCACTGAGTGCCCTCTCTGACACCTGGTAAGGTTTTAAAGAGAAATTTTGCAAATCCATGGCCCACTCTGAGCCTCAGTTTCCTTTTGTAAAATAGGAGTGTTGGTTCATTCTCTGCCTTTCTTGCGAGAATATGGTGAGGGTGAACTAAAGGAATGAATGAAGAAGGACTCTCATGTTTGGGTGCCGAGTGAATGGATGCCCTCTTTTAAACTGAGCACAGTGCCTGCCTTGTAGTAGGGACGCAGCAACTACTTCTTGTTGAATGAATAAATGAATGAATGTTGAAATAAATGCATTTCTTGTCCCTCCCTGTCATAGTCCCTCTGCTTCTGTGTTAACTTCATAGACAGGCCAGCAGAGCCAGCCATGCAGCCTGAGATAAGGCCTTTGGCGGGTGTCTCCCCATCACTCCCTGGAGTGGGGGTGGGGGCAGAGAGGTGATGCCTGGTGCTGGTGGAACCACTGCACAGAGACGGACACGGGATGGGCTCTAAGTACCCACGGTCTGTGAGGGGCTGCCTGCCCCTGTGGGCCTTAACACTGGAGGCAGCTCTCATTCTTGTCTTCTTCTTTTTCACGAAATATGATTCCTCAAAGGATCAGAAGGAGCTCATGGGGACCTATGGAGGTGAGTGCCCAGAGAGGAGGTGGCCACAGAGAGGCAAATAGCTGGGGTAGGGAAAGAGGAGGTTTGTGGTCCTCCAGGAGCTTAGATGTTCCTTTCCACAAAGTCTCCGAAGAAAGGGGCTCCCTTATCTCCTTCCATTGGTTGCACAAAGACCGAGCCAACAATGTAGGCTCTCCTTTAGGACCAATGTGGGCATCACCTTTTCCATGAAGCCTTCCTTGATTTATTTGTCAGGGCAGAATGAGGGGCCTCTTTTTGGGTTCCCAGAGTTCCCTTTGCCAAATAGTCACCATAATTCTCTGCTTCTTTGCTTCTTGCCACTTCTTTCTCTTTAGTGGCAAGGGATTTCACATTGTTAATGGGTTTTTGGTTTTTGTTATCTTTGTATTGGTCTCTCTTGCTCATTTCTGTACCAGCCTTCTTTTAGAAGCTTTAGCCTATTGCCCTTCCCCCACACCCAGCCTTCTAACTTAGGGGCTAGGCAGTCTGCATTCTGTCTGCAAATCCAGAGCATAAGGTATAGTCGTTATTTTATATGCAACTAAAAATATTCACAGACACAGTGATGAGAGCAACTGTAAATAAGACAGTTGTCCACAGTGGTGTGGCTTTTGCTTTTTATAAAAATTGAGATGAGTTTTCAAGCATCTCAATGGACCGATGTATTGTTCGTGATAATGGATGGGTGTCCTTGAGTGATGTTCCTGAAACAAAGGTGACACTTGAGTTGGGTTGAATACCTGCTGCTTCCTAAGTGATGTTAACGACTAGTTAACTAGAAGCAAAGGGAAGCTACCCCTGGTGCCCTCAGCAATGTAAAGTAGGACAAGGGAGGGAAGCCCCTACACCACTTAATGGATGGGCCCAGAGGGGCCTTTGCCAGAAAAGCAAGTCCTGGACACAATTTTAATTCCTTCCCATTTACTTTAATTCCTTTCAATCCAATGCAATGTGATTCAAAACATTCATTCACTTAGTCATTCAACTCTGTATTACATCCAGTGTGGGATCCAGACACATGCTAATTAGAGCTGATGTTTATTGAGCACTTACTATATACCAGGCACTATTCTAAATGCTTTACGTTGAACCCTTATAATAGCCCCATGAGATAGGTACTATTAGGATCTTCGTTTTTCATATGAGGAAATTAGGTGCTTGGATGTTGAGTAATTTGCCCAAAGTCGCTCAGCTAGCAATAGCACAGCATATTTAAATTTAGGCAGTCTGGTTTTAGTTTCCACGCACTTAACCATTATACTTCACGGCCCCATTTTACAGTGAGGCTGAGTCATTTGTCATATAACAGGTAGGTGTAGGAGCCAGCATTCCTCTTTGTAGATTGGCACTGGGGTCCATGTTCCCCCTCCCCCACCCCCATGCTGTGCTGCTGACATAGATACAAAGTGTCCTCAGACACTCACTCACTTGACATGGAAGCAAAGAGGAGGGACCACGGCCCAGGCAGGGGAGCCAGTGGTGTCAGGGAAGGCTTCTGGAGGGCGGTGACTGCCTAGCCAAGTCTTGGAGGCTCAATAGAAGTTAACCATGTGAAAATGGAGGGTCAAGAGCACAGTAGGAACCATTGTGTACGCGCTCATTGGAGTGGACCAGGCTAGGCTTTGACAACGCAGTGTTGTTGGAGCATAAGGAGGGGCCAGGGCATGGTGGACCTATTGAGTTGAGGAAGGAGTTTGACCTTCATTCTGCGGACCTAATAGGAAGCAGGAGTGTGACAAGTTTGGGTTTGGGATATGGAGAAAGCCCTTCCAGGCCTGGCATAGGAGATGGGGGAACGGACATGACTTCAGGAGGGGAGACCAGTGTGGAGGCTGTAGTGTAGTATGGAGCAGGAGCCTTCAGGCTTTTCAGATCATGCACACCATTTTTCTAGCATACACCATATTTACACGTTATATTCAAGCATTGCTGTGTGAATATACTTTGTACGTGATGATACATATGTGCAAATTAGAAAATGCAAAAGAGATCAAAATGAAATATATAATATTTTCAAATTACTGATCATGATGGTGCCCGACAATTTCAAGGCAAGGTCTATTACCATTAATGACGGCGGATGTAAACCCATTCCTCAGAGTCTTCTTGATAATTTCAAATGATCTTGGTTCACTTCTTGTCAGATGATTAGAATGACATTTTTTTTAAACCTTGAAGAGTTTGCATAAGGAGAAGTACCACTCTGCCCTTTTTTTTATATGTTTGGCTGTCATTATTATTTTGCCTTCAATCCGTGTAAACTACAATAAGTTATTTAAACCAGCCAATTCTAAAAAAGACACTTTGGAGACAATCGGAAAATCTGAATATAGCATGAACATTATGTGATACACAGGAATTATTTATTGTTAGTTTTGTTAGATGTGATAATAACATAGTGGGGGTTTTTTAAAGCCCTTATTTGTTAGAGAAGCATTTTGAAATGGAATGATATCTGGGGTCTGCTTTATGCCAAAAAAGAAAGAAGAAAGAAAGAAAGAACGAGAGAGGGAGAGAGAGAGAGAGAAGAGAGAGAGAAGAGAGAGAAGAGAGAGAGAGAGAGAGAGAGAGAGAGAGAGAGAGAGAGAGAGNGAGAGAGAGAAGAGAGAGAAGAGAGAGAGAGAGAGAGAGAGAGAGAGAGAGAGAGAGAGAGGAAGGAAGGGAGGAAGGGAGGCTAGCTAGCTCAGTTGGTTAGAACGTGGTGCTGATTACACCTAGGTTGCCAGTTCGATCCTCGTATGGGCCACTGTGAGCTGCACCCTCCTTAAAGGAATCAACTATGCCATCGTAGCATGAAAGCAATGTGTAACCAATGACCATGGCTGTTATCCAGTAAAAAATAAAAAATAAAATAAAAGTGGAGAAAGATAATAAAAACAAGATTGGTCCCGTGTGACAATCATCAAGGCTGGGAATGGATATATGAGGTTCACCATGCTGCTTACTCTCTATGTTTTTGCATATGCTTAACATTTTCCATAATAAGGAGTTTAATAATAATAATAACAACCTCTTCCATTAGTTGCAACATGATGAATATGGAAAAACACATATCAACCCCTTCCCAGTGGCCCAACATTCCCTCAGGGCACCTTGCAAAGCTAGAACAGCTTCTAAACTGTCTGACAACCCAAGCAAGTGAGAGGATGCTTTGGGTTAATCTGACTATTAAATACTTGCAGAGTTGCAAACTTCACCAAGTGCCTTTGGAGGTAGAATAGCTTAGATCAGTGGTTCTCAAAGTGTGGTTCTCAGACTAGCTGCTTCAGCATCCCCTGGGAACTGGTTAGAAGTGCAGGTTCCTGGGCCCCAGTCCATACTTACTGATCAGAAACTCTAGGGGTGCAGCCCAGCAATCTGTGTTTTACCAAGCCCCCTAAGTGACTAATGCACATGAAAATTTGAGAACTACTAGAGTTAGAGTGATTCAAATCTTGCCTCTGCTTCTTCTTAGGCAAATTACTCAACCTCTCTCTACCTGCATTTCAACCTCTGTGACATGATGATAGTGCTTATTTCATTAGGCTGTTGAAAGGACTGAAATAATTAACACATATAAAGACTGATCAAAGTATTAGCTTTTATTATTAATAAACTTTAATTTCTTTCTTTCTTTTTTTTTTTTTTTACTAAAAATAAGTAAAACTAGATAGAAGTGCTAATATCTTCTTCCAGCAGCCCCTGTAGAATGTCTGGACCGTTTTCTGAGGTGTGTATTCCCTATTCTGATGACACTGGTCTGGATAACCTGTGATAGGGCTAAATGGTCAGGGGGAGTAAAAGAGAAGCAGAGTCAGAGTCAAGAGATATTTAGGAGACAAAATCAGCTGCACCAGTGAAAATGAATGAGGAATCAAAGATGGCATCAGATGTGTGATTTGGCAGGTGGAGGTGCCGGTTCCTGAGATGAGAAGCATGGGGAGGGGCAGGTTGTGGGCAAGTGAACAGTGATATGTTCATTCTGGGTTTGGGGTTGAGGTGCTTATGAGACACTTAGGGAAAGCAGAGTGTATCAGTTATCTATTGCTGCATAACAATCTACCCCTAAACTTAGTGGCTTAAAATAACAACCATTGAATTTGTTTATGATCATGATTCCATGGTTCACTTTGGGCTGAGCTCAGCAATGTGGTTCTTCTGTTGGTTTCACCTGGCGTCTCCAGCCTGAATGTCTGACTGCAGCAGATGGCCTCAGGTGACCCCATTCACATGTCTGGCAGTTGGTGCTGGCTGGCAGCTAGCCCATGTGGTGCCAGCCGATTAGCCCAGACTTCTTCACATGGCAGCAAGAGAGTTACCACAGTAACAGAGGGCAAGCCCCAGTGTGCAGGTGCTTTTCAAGCCTCTGCTTGGATCATGTTTACTAACGTTCCATTGGCCAAAGTAAATACAAGGCCCCGCTCAGGTGGGAAGGGTCTATACTGGGAGGCGTGATTCCTTGGAGGCATTACTGTAACAATCTATCACAGAGCCTGCTCTAAGGCTGCCAAGTTGGGAGACCAGCCTGGGCCCTGCACTGAGACTACCACCCAGCTCCCCGCAATACCCCTCAGAAGCAGGGAAGAGAGCTACTGAAAGATGAGAGGGGCTTTGCCAGTGACATGTAAATACCTCCCAAGTCCTGGTAACCTTCCACATCTTAGCCTTGGCTGCCCCTTGGATTGGGAAATCTTTTTCTATGCTCAGGCTGCTACAGGGGTGGGGTGGGAGTAGAGGCCGTGGGAAGGGGAAGGTATCGTGGGGCTCCATGGATGGTCCCAGTCTGGAGCTGCAGAGCACTTCGCAGTCAGCAGTGGGGTGCACAGTGTGGTGGTCAAGCCCAGAACCTGAGGGCAGAAGCTGGGCCTGGCTTCAGAGCTGATGGTGCTGAAGTGTCTGGGGGCCAGAGGGAGTGGCCGAGGTGAGTGGGAACACAGAGCTAGAACCACAGGGGCAGCCAGGCCTGAAAAGGGGGCAACAGTCTTGCCCAAAGTCACACAGCTGACAAGTGGTAGGCATGGGATAATAGTTACTAATGCTTACTACACACCCAATGCTAGGCTGAGTGATTTGCATGAGCCAGCAAGCTCAATACTCACAGCAATCCTCGGAGCAGGTGCCTTTGTTTCATACCCATTTTACAGATTAGGAAGCTGGGACATGACCTCACTCAGAGGCTCACACTCTGCACCAACCATTACACTATATATGCTGCATGGAGAGTCAGGATGGTGTAGTACTTAAACCCAGAGTGTCAGGATTCAGATCTCCCACCACCATTTGCTAGCTATGTGACTTGGGCTAGCTACAGCACCTCCCTGTGCCTCCCTTGCCCCATCTGTAAAACAGCGATAAGAAATACCACCTACTGTATAAGGTTGTGGCAGGTTAAGGCTGTAAGGCACTTAGAACAGAGCCTTATGAACAGAAGATATATGTGAAGGGCACCACATATCTTCCTGCTGTTACAGTGGTGGTAATTATTGCCTCATCTCACGCTGCTGGGCCAGGTTAGACTTTCTTTCTCCAAGTCATGGGGCTTTCGTAAACATCTCCTGAGGGCCTGCCTTAGACTGTAAAATTCCCCTCTGGGGCCTAGTCATTGGGGCCCCTGTAGCACATCCACTCCTTATCATCCCTGAACAGCTTCGAGTCATTAGTCTATCAGACCAGTGGCTGATGCAGGGCCCCTGAGAGGTAGAGGCTGACACCAATGGGAATGCCCTAAGCTGGGACACAGCCCTGAAGTGGGAGTCCAGGCAGAGAGACATGGGAGCAGCGGGTGTGGGCCCAGCACCCTGGGAGGCTGTGTGGCCTTGAGGAAGTCGCAGGCTCTCTCTGGTCCCCTTCTGTAAAATGAGAGGAAAGTGGAAGGGTCTCCCTACTCATGGAATCTTCCGTAAGTCTGAACCCTATGCCTATAGTGTTGCTCCAAAATGGCAGATGTGTTTTTTTTAACAGATGTATTTAATAAAAGATTGAATTTTAATATCTAAAGTGGGGTGTGCCGTATCCCATTGGCCACAGGTCTCACCACTCCCAAATATGCATCATTTCCTGCTTGGCTCCTGAAGGAATCTGAGCAATCCCAAGAGGAGCCCCTATACAAAATGTGTCCAGGCCAACCCCATCCCTAAGAGGATGCAAGCAAGAGGTTGAGACATTGCCTGCACCCCCCACCTCACTCATGTCAGAGAAGAAGATGCTGGAGGGCCGGCCGAGTGGCGCGATGGTTAAGAGCTGACTTGGGACGCCAGAGGCCCCCGGTTCGGATCCCACATATGAGGGCCAGTGACACTGCCCTCTACAAAAAAAAAAGAAGAAGAAGAAGATGCTGGAAGCTGAATCCTCCTGAATGCCCACTTCCCCACTCACTCCCCCAAACCTCAGATCCCAAGGATGTCCTGGAGGGGAGGGGGATCTCCTACATCCCAGTGTTGTCACATTGATCTGGGAACATTAGCACCTACCCAAGCCCTACGTGCAAGACCCTAGGTATGTGTGTTTTCAATGAAAGTATTGTAGATTTAAATGTACCTCGAAGGGGCTTTCTGAGACTTTGCAGAGTTCTGGAAATGAGAGCTTCCTCATTGTTATCAGAGCCAGGGGCTGGAGACCCATGGAAACCAGGTGAGCTCTTAGTGCTGTGACAGTGATGATGTGTTGGTGGTGAATAACCATCATTTACTGAGCCACGTGCCCAGCACTGTGCCAAGCACTTAAACAAAACGTTACTGCCTTCAGATCTCCCAGCACCCTCTGGTAGGGGTGGGAATAATCGCCCTTACTTAGCTGATGAGGAAAGTAAGCAACCTGCAAGGCTACAGGCCTATGAGGTTGAAACATATAAACTACGGTTAAAAGTTGGCAATTTAGTATGGTTTAACCTAATAGGGAATGACAGAGCTGGAATCAAACAGAACTATCTAAACTTGAAACCCGTGCTATTTTCCTTTTATTAAAAAAATTTGTTTACTAGCTACAACCGGTTGTAGAAAATTTAAACATCAAAAATCTTAAAAAAGTAAAACTCTCCCAAACCAGAGATAATATTCATAGGGGGAAAAATTCCTTCAAGGTCTCCCTCTCCAGGCATTTATACATATGTAAAAATCGTTGGTGTTGGTCGATGAAATAGTCTTCATTATTCTGAGTGATTCTGTGTACTATGCCACTGGATTCTGACAACCTGACAAAGGGTAGCGTGATTATTTTCCCCATTTAACAGATAATAAAACTAACAGGGCACTTGGTATTGTAGTTAAAGGGACAGGCTTCACAGCAGACCATCTAGGTTTAACTCTTTTTTTTTTTTTAAAGGAACAGTTTCCTTTTTTTTTTTTTAAAGATTTTATCGGGGAATTGGGGGAGGGAACAGCGTTGGGGAATCAGGGAAGGGGAACAGACAAGTTGCTATCCTTTTTGTTCTTCAGTCTAGTTGTGGAGGACGTTGCTTCACTGGCCCAAGTTAGCACCATCATTGCGCTCTTCCTGGGCGAGCCAGATCAGTCGCAGGCTTCTGGATAGCCGCTCACGCTGGCTGCTGGCTACACACAGTAGCCCATGGCAACCCACTGCAGCAGGGGCTTCAGCCTACGCCGTTGCCAGTGACTCATGGCAACCCAGCTCCAGATTGAGCTGTTGTTCAGCATCTTAGCTGTAGAGAGCAGTGTCACTGGCCCTCATATGTGGGACCCGAACCGGGGCCCTCTGGCGTCCCAAGCCAGCTCTTAACCAATGCGCCACTGGGTCGGCCCTAGGTTTAACTCTTGACTCTACCAGCTGGGGCAAGTTCCTTAACCGCTCTGTGCCTCAGTTTTCATATCTATAAAATGGTGATAATAGCACCCACCTTGAAAGGTGGTTGTGAGAACTAAATGAAATAGTCTATGTAAAATGATTAAAACAGTGTCAGTACATGCTAAACACTTAGTAAGTATAGGCTGTTATTAAAGCCCAAAACTATTAAATAACTCTATGAAGACCACATAGCTGGAAAGTGCCAGAGCTCCTAATTTGAACCCAAGCTTGTCTAGTTCTGGAGCTCAAGCTGCTAACAATTTTTTAAGCCTGGAATTAAATCAAAGTGTCCACCCTTTTTCTTTTGCTGAACCTCTCCCTAACATTAGGTATATCTCTTACACTCACCTATCACCACAGCCTCTGTGCTGGGTCTGGGGCTGGGAAGGTGTGGGTCACCCAGATGGCCCTAATGCTTTCCGCTGGCCCACCAGATCCCTCTCAGCAGGTGGCAAAGGGAGAGAACTGTTTTCTGTAAAGATGACTTGGTTCTGGCCAACAGAACCTCTGGGTCTGCTTCTGCTCCCTCTTTTCTACATGGCCAAGCCACTGGCTTCTTTGGCCTTATTTTCTCATGTGCATCATCGGAAAGTTGTACTTGATCCTCAATAGCAGCAGTAATTACCTTTACTGAGTGTCAGCTACATGCCAAGCACTGGTCCTGATGCTCTACACTTGCTCATATCATTATGTTTAATAATAACAATAATTGCTACATTTTCTGAGTATTCACCATTGGCCCTGCCTTCGTGCTTAACCAGCATTAGCTCATCTAATCCTTCCTTCAACCCTGCATAGTATGCATATACTATCCCCATTATTCAGACCAGAAAACTGAGGCTCAAACCTGACCAAGCACTCTCAAATGATCTCTAGTGACTCTTGCAGCTATAAAACCCTAATTTCATGCAACTCTCTACCGTGTCTGCTTCTCTTCTTCCTCCTCGACATATCCTCCCTTAGCCATCTTCCAAGATGTTACCGTCATGGCGGTCCTCGGCTTGGGCTTCCTCACCTCATCTTTGTGGAAACAAGGCTGGAGCAGCGTGGCCTTCAATCTCTTCATGCTGGCCCTTGGGGTGCAGTGGGCAGTGCTGCTGAATGGCTTCCTGGACCAGTCCTTCTCAGAGGTTGTGATCATCACACTGCCCAGGTAACTGGATAGCTACTGGATTACTTGGGTCCTTGAGGATATGGGGCCCAAGAGGGTGGGTTCTAGAAGAGCCAGATGTCACCTTTTCTTTCCAGCACTGAAGCCATGTAATATTTAGGACATACTTATACTAACCAATTATTCATTATTTATCTGAAATTCAAGTTTAACCAGGCATTCCGAATTTTATCTGTCAGCCCTAGGCCCAGATCTATAGCTCTCACTAAGTCCTTTATTATTATTATTTTGTAAAGTTATCCAATCAATATGGGTTTAAAGAAAAATTAATAGAGATTAGACAAAAACAAATAGAAATATCACAGAGAGACAGTCTCTTGAAAAGAAAGAAGTACTCTTAGTCCTCAAATGCTGGTAAACAAGAAATAGCCATGCCTTTACCTTCTTTAAATTAATTTTGGTCCATTTAGATGCATTTATATGAAATTCTAAGAGCTAGCAAAATTAACCCATGTTGCTGGAAGTCAGAATAATGGTTACCTGGTGAAAGGCAGAGGTTATTCATTAGGAAGGGGCCCAAAAGAACCTTATGGGGTGCAGTAAATATTCTCTATGTTATCCTGGGTGATGGTTACACACACACACACACACACACACACACACACACATATGCTGTACGTTCTTCTTTTTTTTTTTTAAAGACACTAGTACTTGACAGGAGGAACGAGGTAAAATTTTTCCTTAAAAATTGTTTTTTTTTTGTTTTATCCAACTCTGAATCTCTGTCATGCCCAGATGGTGGTAAGTCCCATTTCAGGCATCTTAGGAAACTTATCACTTCTTAAGGCCACTTCCTCCTCTCTAAGCCCCTGCTATACCTCTGGACACTGCTATTGAACACCTCTCCATGAGCCAGGCACTGTGCCAGGCACTTCACAAACATGATTTTGTGTAATTCTTCCAGTGGGGGGTCTAACCTGGTGTACAGGCAAGGAAACAGAGGCTCAGAGACACTTGTCTAGGCTCACACAGCTAAATGGTGGAAATGACTTCCAGCATACTCCAAGTAATTATGGCATGAAACACAGTCTAGTCAGCTCCTTACTGGCCCTGGGGGAAAAAAAATCTCCACATTTTTTCCTCCTAAAAAGTTTTAGAGCTAATCCTCGTGGGAATTCAATAACTCCAGGAACCACATGGGAAGTGACCAAGGGCACTCTGGAGGCTCTGATAGGGGTGTCCCTGGTCTGGCATTTCTGCTGCCTTGGCATAAAGTCACACAAGCCTTCAGCCTCCTGTGCCTCAGTCTCCAGTCCTCCAGTCCTCTCTGGGCTGCTTCCTCTTCTGACGTCCTGACTACGGGGTCCTGTTTGTTCTTGGCTTAATCCAGGGAGACCAAAACAGGTCATTTGCAGCCTGAGTGAACACCCCTGCCCAGCTGTGACCTCCTGCTGGGACTGGCATCACAGATTTGAACAATGGGCACCTTCCTGACCATCCCAGCCGGGCTGGGCTGGTGGGCAGTGCTCAGGCCTGCCCCCCAGACTAGCACCCTCTCTCTGTCTGAGCCTTACTCACTCTGTGCTGCCAGACTTGGCACGGAATTGGTTCTGCTTTGAGTTACCCATGACCAGTTCCTTTAGGGCAGGGACCTGTCTTATTCAGCTTTGTCCTTTGTTTTCCTCACATAGTAAGGACTTAGTATGGTCACTGGAACAAAAACGAAAATAAAAGGAACCCTAAAAGTTGTGATTATTTTTAATGCCATATTTTGAAAGGTCCAGGAGTGCTCCCCCTAGAAGATAATGGCAATAACCAACCCCGTTATTGTGCTTGACATATATTAACTCACTTTGCCCTCACAAATACCTCCATATGCCTTGCCTCTACCTAATAGAACACTGAGGCACAGAGTGGTTAGGTTAATTTGCCAAGAGCACACAGCCAGAAAGTGGCAGAGTCAGGATTCCAACTTAGGCAGCCTTGAAGGAGACTGCACTCCTAACCACTGTACTTCGCTGTCTCAACACCTCCCTAGCCCCAATTGGCCCCTGAGGTCTGAAATCCAACCACTAGCACACATCTGTTTCAATTATGCCTTTGCCTATTAAATGAGCACTCACTCGAAAGACATAACACAGCCAGCCACAGTGAAACATTGAGTAACCCCCATGCTAAATAATTCCTGGTCCCTGTGAGACTCCTTTCCATGCCCTTTGCCCTCTGACCTTCCCTCTGAAGTTCTCGAGCCTTAAGCAGGACGCTACATCGGCAGCAAACACTGGGGAGGCTGTGTCCAGACTTCAGAGCACAGGCTTTGGATCCAAGCCAGCTAGGTTTGAACCTCACATTTGTCATTAGCTAGCTGTGTGGCCATTGCCAAAAATATCTCCTCTTCTAGTCTCAATGTCCTCTTCTGTAAAATGGAGGTACGGAATGGTATCCTAGCACTGTTTACAGAGTTGGAAGTTTAAAATTTAAAAGAGGTGACGTAGTTGCAAGCCTGTTATACGTGATGCTCTATAAATTATTATTGTGGTGGTGGTGGTGGTGTTTGTAGCATCATCATCATCAACTCCCAGGGGGAGGAGGGGATCTCAGAGCAAGGTTCCTGGAGGAGGGTGGGTTGGTTTACTCAGTGACACCTCCCCCAGGAAGCCTTCCCTGACGAGTCCAGTCCACACAGTTCTCTCCCTCTAGTGAATCCTTCTAGCCTCATTATATTGCAAATAGTGATATCAAGGCTCATGATGTCAGCCCCGTTCCCCCCCCCCCGAATACTTAAGTGCCTCGAAAACAAAAATTGTTTTCTCTTTCTAAATCCCCACGTTGAGCTTGCTAATTTGTCAAGGGAAGAAAAGAATCAATAATAGTACTAATAATGCTGGCTTCTATTCCTGGGTTAGGTCTTTTTGTGCTGTGACAGTGCTAGACACACAAGCACGCTTATTCCTTCTAATCCCCACAGCACTACCATGAGATAATTGTATTATCATTCTTATCCACAGATGGAGAAACAGGCTCAGAGAGATTAAATAGCTCCTCAAGTGGAAAAGCTGAGACTGGAAGTCAGGCTTGTCCTACTTCCAAGCCCAGTCTCTCCACTACCATAGAGAGGAGCGGAGGGTGGCGGGTGGACCGGCAGGTGAACAGCGCCCTCTATTGAGCATCTGTGAGTGTTGACGGCCGAAGAGAAGAAGCCATGGGCAGAATCCCAGTTATCAGATCCCAGAGGGGGACTCTGAGGGAACACTCAGCCTCTATGTGACATCCCTATGAGAACCTCAGAGCAAACTCAGTATGGATGAGTGTGTACAGATCAATTCTTGGGAGTGTAAATGCCACCGTAATGGGGGAAGTGGATGAAGACGACCCCAGGCTGGGCAGTGTCAGTTCCCATGTAGGTAGAAATCTTGTCTTCTTGTTCTCCTCCTGTGTCCCTGTTTCTTGAACAGTGCCAGGCAGAGAGTAGGTCCTCAACAAGTGTTTGTTAAATGAGTGAGTGAATGAATGAATGAATGAATGAATGAGAGGCATCCTTCTTAGTCATCCCTGTCTTGTCCTCTCTGCCCAGGATTCAAAAGGCCACCATGAGTGCTATGTCTCCACTGATCTCAGTGGGTGCTGTCCTGGGGAAAACCAACCTGGTGCAGCTGGTGTTGATGACGCTGATAGAGGTGACAGTCTTTGACACCATGAGGATGTTCAGCAAAAAATTCCTCCATGTGAGTCATGGTGCTATGAGGAGGTGGAAGGGGAGGGTGCTGCCTCCATTTGGAGGCTGCTGCAATTAAAAAATAAATAAAGACAGGCCCAAAGGGGGTGACAAAGTGTGGTCTATGCTAAATGTTTAAACATCGCAAATGAATGCCTTTAACTTCCAAATTATGATACTGTAGGAATCACAAGATAATTATGGGATGTATAAAAAGAGAATTAATTCTCAGGGCCTCACTGACTACGGTCCAGCAAGCTGCATGGCCAGCGTCTACATTCAAACCAGTCAGCGTGTGTCGCTAACTGTACAGGTGATCTCATTGGCGGAGGTTGTCAAAAGTCTAAACCTGAGGCCAGCTGTGAAGGTGATGCCATGTCAGATGGCCCTTCCAGCTCCTCTGCTGTAGCTGTGACCTGGTGGTCAGGTACAATTAAGTAAGATAAGGGCTGATCACAGATGAGAAAGCTGATGCCCAGAAAGGGGACGTGATTGCCCAAGATCACATAGCAAGATAGTGGCATTTGTCTCATGTTAACTTTGATCACTTGTGAAGAAGATTATTGCCATAATTTGGGGTAACAATGAGGGTGGCTTAAACCATCAGTGAGGTGTGGAAGTAAAAATTCTGCCAATTCTGGATATATTTTTAAGGCATAGTTGATAGGATTTAAGAGTAGCCCATGAAGTGAATTACTAAGGATTAGTAAATTTGATATTCCTAAAGCAAAATTAGCATATATCTAGGATTTACTAAAGACTTCAGTTTGGTATTATAAGAAGTCCGGTTGTTTTATGTTGCAAAGCTTATATCACTCATCTCTCCATGAAATTCTGCTGCAACATAGGAAGCAGTGAGGGGGAGGTGGCCATGTGGCTTTTGGACTCACCTAAGTGGACCTCAGCTAAAAGCCTTTAAGAGCTACTGATAAGACCAACCAGCAACCTCCCTGGAATAAACACCTAGCTATTTACGGGACTCCTCTGAAATGGGAACACTGGGCTGGGTAAGCTCAGAACACCGGTCTCATGACTTCAAGTCACATCTCCTACACAAAGCTCAGAACTTTCTCCGAGGAGCATGGGGGTTTGCCGGTGGGCAAAGGGTACTGACACTTGCTGGCTTTTGTTGCAGATGCCTGACGACATAAATATGATGTACATCCACGTGTTCGCGGCCTATTTTGGGCTGATTGTGGCCTGGTGCCTCTCAAGGCCTCTGCCCAAGGAAGCGAAGAAGAAAGATCAGATAGCAACAAGCCCCAGTTTGTTTGCCATGCTGGGTAAGGACAAGGTGGGTGGGTGGTGTCATATCTAAGTGAGCAAGAGGCTCCAAAACGCCCTCCAGAAAATCTTTCCTGACCTGTCCTGGGTGTCTGAAGCCTCTCTATAAGGACTCATTTCCTTGAGTGTTGTTTGATGAACTCACACCTTTGAATGAAGACTTCCTCTCTAGGGAACCTCTCTTCATTCATATCCAAAGGAGAGGAGAGACCGTTACATTTGAGTTTAAATAAGTTTATCCAATCATTTTGCCCTCAACTTAAAAGAGAGAGTTGGACGAGTGAAGGAAGTAGGGCCCTGGGGTGGAGGAAGGAAAAGGGGTGGGGAGAAAAGAGTAATAAAGGTGTACTTTGAAAGGCTGTGTGAGAATGATGAACTCAGGCTGCTGGGAAAGGCTTACAGGAAATCAGGCAGTGGGCTGAATAGCATGCCATGGGGCTGAATGAAAGAAGCATGTTGATTCTTTTTTTTTTAAATAAGTCATCACTGGCCAGGGCCAGGAGGCCTGGAATTTGGTCATTTTAACTCTCAGAGCCTTAGTTTCCTTGCCGGTGAAGTATGTTAGCTGGACTCTACCAACTTGAGATTTCAGAAAGGACACATGCCTTACCCAAAGTCACATAGCTAGAAAGTAACAAAGCTGAGACTTGCCAGCTCTGCAGAGGCTCAGGCTTTGGAGCAGCAGTGTTGGTCCTGGTCAGTGACCCTCTCTGGCCCTCAGGCACCCTCTTCCTGTGGATGTTCTGGCCAAGTTTCAACTCTGCTCTGCTGACCTCACCACATGAGAGGAAGATTGCCGTGTTCAACACCTACTATGCTATTGCGGTCAGCGCAGTGACAGCCATCTCCGTGTCAGCCTTGGCTCATCCCCAAGGGAAGATCAACATGGTGAGGTGGGGGCTGCCCCTTGGGGGACACCCGTATTCATGCCCCTTCCCTGGGCGCCAGCCCCTTGGCTTGGGAAAGAGCCTGCCGAGGGCTGAAGCCCCGAGGGCTGAAGCCTTGTTTGCAGTGTCGTGGAGCGCAAAGAAGAGCGCGAAGTTGTTAAAATGGGCACTGGAGCTTAGGAGACTGGGAAATGACCAAAGGCTTACTGGGGGCAGTGATTTAGCCCGTCGGCATTGACATCAATCAGACCCAAGTTTGAACTCGTGTCTGCTAGTTACTAAAGCCAGTCACTCTGAGCAACAGTCAGCATAGAAAAAGTAGCATAGAATTAGTCAGCCTCTCCCCTTTCCTTAGGAAATGTGAAGACTGGAATGATCAGGATCAGAAGTGAAGAGGTATATTACCCCAGCCACGTGGCCTTGGTCAAGCCACATAAATTTTTTTTTTTAAACAATCACCTTTTTTTTTTTTTTTAAACTCTTTTTTTTTTTTTTTAAAGATTTTTATTGGGGAATTGGGGGTATGGGAACAGCGCTGGGGAATTGGGGTAGAGGGCAGTGTCACTGGCCCTCACACGTGGGATCCGAACCGGGGCCCTCTGGCATCCCAAGCCAGCTCCCAACCATCGCGCCACTCGGCCGGCCCAAGCCACATAAATTTGGTCAAGCCTCAACTGCCTCATATGTGAAGTGGGAATTAATAGACAATGCATGTACAGTGCTTCATGTGGCTTCATGTGGAGCCAGGAGGTCATGTGTGAGTTCTGGGAGGACAGATAGGTGGCAGTGTAGAGCTAAAGACAAAACAAGTTCCCATGATGATCAGGGCACGGGGTCAGCCAGCCAGAGGTCGTGGGGAAAAGTCTAGACAGACAGTGGGGCCTGAAATAGAGAGAATGTGGCCATGGGTGATGACGGTTAACAGTACTAAGGGGAGTTAAGTGTCCCCACAGGTGAACTCCATGGTGACTCGGAATCTAGGACCAGATAAGGTGGGGACATCCAGGGAGGCAGGTTTGGCCATCAGGTCAGGGAAGTCCAGAATCCGGACCAGGGGCGCAGAGCTCCTAGAAGTGGTTAGAGTTGAGGTGGGCAGGGGTAAGCATATAAGAGCAAGGCAAGGCCCAGCTCTAGCAGAGACATGACCCAGGGACACAGGCCAGCTTATTGGGTCCAGTCAGATAGGGTGGCATAGGTCACAAAGTAGCCAATCATCATCATCATCATGATCATCGTCATCATCATAAGAATGGCTTATATTTATTGGGCATTTACTCATGTTCGATGCCAGGCACTGGGGCTAAGGGTTTTACATGCGGTAACTCATTTCATTCTTACAATACCCTATATTAAGCAGGTGTAATTGAAACCCGATTCTTCTGGCGGAAAAGTTGAAGCACTGCTCTGTTAGGTGTCCAAGGACAAATCACTAATCAGTGTGAGGGTGGCTGGATGCTGAGTAACTGTATTTTTAAGCTGAGTCCCTAAATGCCTCCCAATTAGGGTGACTGCTCCCTGAGCCTGAGCAGTTGGTGAGATAAGACCATCGATAAGAGCTGGATAGTCTCAACAAAGGGGAAGTGATGGTTTCAGGGTCAGCAGAGCAGGGAGGACATTACAGTGTTGCCTTGCTACCTGCTTGCTGAGAAGCTTTGAGCAAGATGCTGTCCTCTGTGCATCGCTTCATTCACCCACAAGCTGTTTCTTTGCAGGCTCATATCCACAATGCAGTACTGGCAGGAGGTGTGGCTATAGGCGCCCCGAATCACCAGATCAGTTCTCCTTGGTCTGCCATGGTGCTGGGCCTTATGGCTGGGCTGATCTCCATCGGTGGAGCCAAATGCCTGCCGGTAAGGAGCTAACACCCTCTGCTTTGGCTTAGGTCAGCAGGACCTTGGAACCATAAAGGCTATCATGGGCTGTGCCAGCAGGTGTTGGCACCTTCTCAGATTGGCTTCAAAGCTTCGGTGAGGGACCCACCCAGTTGGATGATGTTTTTATTAGGATCTGGGGAAAAAGTAACAGAACCCATTCAAGCTTGCTCAGGCATAAAGGGGGATTTGTTTTAAGGTTCCTGGGATGTCGCAGAACCCAAGGACAAGGATGCTGCTGGGAACTCAGGAATGGCTGGCGACAGGGACAAAAGTGTTGTGGGGAGCCCGAGGGGTCCGTGCTCTTCTTCTTTCTTTGCTTTTCCTGAGTATCTGCTTTATTCTCACTCTGTAGACTGACTTCCTCTTCTCCTACTCCTATTCCACATGGTGGAATGTAGCCTCTCTCTTCAAGAATGCAGCTGGGTGGACTCTCTTGACCCCGATTCCAAGTTCTCTGGAGAAGGGGCTCATTGGTCTAATTTGGATAACGTGCCCATCTTTGGCTGGGGGTACGTCACGTTGTACATACATGGCTGCTGCCCATGAAGCATGTGAATGGGGGTGGAAAGGGCAGAACCCAGAAAAAAGATGCTGGTCATGTCCACTTCTGATTGTTTAGTTCTTCTAAGTGGATAGATTTTTCTTCCTTCAATATTCAACAGGTACAGATAATACCAGAATACTTCATTATAGCCAATTCGTTATAACACACTTCTGAAAGAAATATTGAGGAACAACAAATCTTCATAGTTTTGAAGGCGTGGTGGGGGAGAAAGGTACACTTTTGGGTGGTGTAGGAAACCGGATTGGGTGAACAGTGGATATTCAGGGAGAGTTTCAACCCAAAATAAGAAAGAACTTACCAACAGTTTGATTTGACCAAAGATAGGGCAGTCTGCTTTTCACTTTGGAATGGAAACAGATGTCTTTTATTTCCTCTGGCTTGGAGGCCCTAATGATGAAAGGAGGAGGTACACAGCAAAAAGTGCATAACAAGCTATCAATCTCAGAGTCCATCACTTTCCCTGTGCCTCAGTTTCCTTGACTCTATCACTGGGAGAAGGATTCAAAGATGATTGATTGATTGATTCATTCATTCATTCATTTATTCATTTATCACATATGCTTTAACATTTATCCTGCTTCCCAAGCTATAGTGTAATGGGGGAAACAAATGGACAAATAAACATAGCTCAGTGTGATAACAGATCCAGGAGCACATCTAAGCTACCCTGTGATGTGTCAGGAAATGCTTCCCAGAGCCGAGGATGTCTCAGCTGAGCACTGACAGAGCACTAATATTGGCCAGGCAAAGAAGTGGGAAATGTATTTCAGGCAGAAGGAACAGTGTGTTCAAAGGCTCAATGGTGAGAAGAGCATAGGGCTCAGCCAGGAAACTGAGAGACATCCTCATGGCTGAAGCATTGGGTTCACCTGGAAGTATGATGGGACCAGAATCTTGAGAGAGGGCACGTGCTCAGGTATGTCTCCTGTGCTAGTTAAGGAGTCTGGGTTTTTATTCTGGAGACAATGAGGAGCCTAAGGAGAGAACCAGCATGATGAAATTTGCATATGAATCTACATCTGTTAGCTCACAGCCATCTGGGTAGCTAAGTGGTGAGGTGGAAGGAGCACTGAATGGGAGTCTGAAGGTGTGATCAGGTTCTTTTCTCCTGACTTATCCTAACCAGTTCTATTGTCTTTGGGAAGGCAGTTAAATTTGGGCTAGACCAGTGGGTCTCAATCACCTCCTGGGGACATTTGACAACATCTGGAGACAATTTTGGTTGACACACTGGGTTGGGGGTGCTACTGACATCTAGAGGGTACAGGCCAGGGATGCTGCTAAACATCCTACAGTGCACAGGGCATCCCCCGCTCACAACACAGAGTTACAGCCCAAAATGTGAGTAGTGCCTGGGCTGGACCCTTGCTTCTCAAAGTGTGGCCTGTGGACCAGGGGCACTGACATCACCTGGGACTTTGTTAGAAAAGCAGAATCTCAGGCCCCAGACTCCTCTGCAGTTTAACAAGCTCCCCAGGTGATGTGAGTGCACATCCGAGTCTGAGAAGGTGAGCCCTAAAACCTATCCCCTTTTGGTGGTCCCAGATGCCAAGGATGTGTGAAAAGGGTAAGTAGGGAATGTCAGTCTCACATGTAGATCTGCTTATAATGACATTTCTCCCCAGGTGTGTTTTAACCGTGTGCTGGGGATCCATGATACCTGCGGCGTGCATTACACCTTTGGCTTGCCGGGTCTGCTCGGAGGGATCACCAACATCGCGTTGAAAGCGCATCAGGCAAACTGGAACAGGGATCCCATGTGGGTCACTTGTCTTACCCCCTTAATACCCACCTCAGGAAGAAATGTAACCAGAGCCCTTAGCTGGGATGTGTGCGTTCAGGGCCAGGCACTCATAGGCCTCAGCAAATATTTCTTGGCCAATTTATTCAGAAATTCTGCCCAGCCCTTAAGTTGTATGGAGTCATCACCTCTCCAGGCCACTTCTTCTTTACAAAGGTGGCAGCTTAGGTGCAAGGTAAAGGCGGATAGTCCCGAGACCTCCCAAAAACAGACAGAGTAGGGCAGTCAAGCCCAAACCAGTTGAGTCTATTTTTCAACCCCTGATGGTTTAGGTCATGGTGAAGAGTGTGGTGTGGAATCAGACTGGTCTTGACCTCTTACTAGCTGGGCATGCTACCTAGCCCCTCTGAACCTTTGCTGTCCAATTGTAAATGAAGAAAGTGCTAATACCTCATGGGGTTGTTGGAGGCTACTTGAGGCCAGGCACCATGTAGTTAAGAGGATTTAATAAGTTAATATAGGGGCTGGCCAAGTGGCTCAGTTGGTTAAGAGCTTGCTCAAGAGTGTGAGCTCTGAACGACAGGGCCGCCGGTTTGATTCCCACATGGGCCAGTGAGCTGCGCCCGAGCTGAGCTGCCTCTGAGCTGCCAACAGGTGACAGGATGGCTCAGCTGGTGAGAGCATGTGCTGCTAACAACAAGATTGCCTGTTCAAGATGGTGGGCTATGCCCGCCCGCAACTAAAAACTGAACTCTGCACCTAGAGCTGAGCTGCCGGTGGCTAAGGGGATACAGCGTGCATTCTTAACAACAAGGCTGTTGGGTTTGACTCCCACATGGGATGGTGGATATGTCCACCTGCAACTAATTGAACGCAGCACCTTGAGGTGAACGGCGTGACTAGACTTGGAGCTGAGTTTGCCGCGCCCTCCACAACTAAGATTGAAGGACAACAAATTGGCTAGTCTCCTCCCCTAATTCCCCAATAAAATCTGAAAAAAAAAAAAGTTAATATAGGAAAATGCCAGGCACAGCCTATCCCTGATGCCCAGAGAGGGAAGGGGCTTGGCTAAGGTTTCACTGTGAGACGGGAACGTGGGCCTCTGGACCAGAGTCTGGTCCTGTGCCCCCTAGACAATGACAGCAATAATCGATTTGATGTACCAGAGCCCTGACTGGACGTCACCTCCTGGAGGCTGTGTGACTATCTTCTGGACGTGGCTCACATAAAATGAAAGAGTGACTTGGGCATGATACAGGGATAGATTTTTTTTGTAGGTGGAACTGATACAGTGATAATAATATTACTGAGGGCAATCACTACTGTTTATTGACTGCTTTCTAAGTGCTAGGCATTATGTCAAATCATTACGAACACCCTGTAAGTATATTATTATACTCTAAGAAATGATACTTAGGGGAAATTACCTACTCAAACAAGACAGACCAAGGTCACACTTACCAGTCATGTGATCTTAGGCGTGGTCCTTTCTTTTTTCTTTTTAACTTTATTGGGGAACAGGGTGTTTTCCCAAGACCTATCAGCTCCAAGTTAAGCTGCTGTTCTTCAATCTTAGTTGTGGAGGGCACAGCTCAGCTCCAAGTCCAGTCACCAGTTTTCAATCTAGTTGTGGGGGGGCGTGCAGCCCACCATCCATGCGGGAGTCAAACTGGCAACCCTGTTGTTAAAAGCACATGCTCTAACCAACTGAGCCATCCGGCCACCCACGGGCAGCTCAGCAACAGCTCAGCCTAAGTCATTGTCTTCAATCTGTAGTTGCGGAGGGCGCAGCTCACAGGCCTATGTGGGAATCAAACCGAGGATCCTGTTGCTCAGAGCTCGCGCTTTTAACCAACTGAGTCACTCAGCCGGTCGGCATGGTTTTTTTTTAATCTCAGTTTTCTACCTGTAAAATGGGATAATAAGTTGTGCATTATGCTGTGAAGGTTCAGCAACATAAAACATTAAAGGGCTCAGGGCAGCGCTTGACGTGGAGTAAACACCCAACACGTGGCCTCTTTCTTTATGATGATTATTGATGCTGCTGCTTCCGTAGGAGGGGCATCTGTATATAGCTGAAAGATGGAGAAAGGACTTAGCTGCAAGTCAGAACACTTCATGTGAAACGTGGATCAGCTGCTTTATTATCTTGGTGTCATTGCGCCAGCATTGACTTTCATTTCTTCCACAAACCATATTTGCCAATTTCCTACTCAGGGGAGCGAAAGTGAATGAGTCAGGTGCTGTGCTCCGAGCCTGGATGAAGACACATTTAAAGAACATTGAATCACACAGTGCAGAGGCTCTTTGTCGATTCTCATTCAGTCCTTTGATTCTATCAGGGAGAAAGTCTCCACTTGGTGCCGAGTGTCTCTGCAGCCTTCAGACACTTGCTGACCTGACTTCTGGTTTGCATGACAGCAGAAGAAGCCCTAGGCTGAGAGACTTTCCCAGGCTGTGACATCTGGGGGAGATTTTAACAACGTTTGTTTTCATTATATCTTTTTTTTTTTTAGAGTTGCCTCTCATTTGTCTTCCACTTAAGCTAGTGACACAATGTTTCCTGTTAAATACATTTATTTCACTTAAAAAAAAGTATATTTAAAGAAAAATATTTTTAAAAATAGTATTCCTAAAATGCCGACGTGGCCACATTTGTGCTGAAATCTGGAAAAGATCTAGCCAGGCTTTGTAGGTAGACAGACCTGCCTGGTTTGAATCCCAAGAGCCACCCATGCCAAGCTATGTGACACTGTTCACTTTCCTAACCTGGACCTCCCCATTTGGGAAATAGGGACCCTAATAGCTTGCTCACAGGGCTGCTGGGAGGATCACAATGAGATCAGATGATGAAGCATCAAACCGAGGGGCCTGGCACAGGGAAGCCCACCCTGCGTGGAGACTGTTGTTATGGAGATTTCTACTTCATCCATGTCTGCTTTCAGATGGCATCAGGATAGAGTGAATTGTGGGTTGTCAGTCAGCAGATCTGGGTTTTACTTCTATTCTACCACTTAATGTTACCTTAAAACAAAAAAAAACTATTTTCGTAGTTTTTTATATTTAGAAGAGTGCAAACATCATGATGAATTTTCTGGCAAGCCCCTGTGACCAGCACCCAGAACTCTGTGTCCCATCCCTGGGTAACCACTAATGTGACTTCTAATAGCATCGGTCGGTATTTTGCCTGCTTTTCTCCTTTATCCACATGGAATCACATAGGAAACCCAGGCTCCTCTGTGCCTGGTTTCTTTTACTTTACATCATAGTCATGACATTCACCCATGTTGTTGAGTATCTCTGTCGATTGTTCATTTTCATCGGGGTATAGTGTTGAACTGTGCTTGGGTTGAATTTACAAAGGTGACTGAGTGACATGGAGAAGTCAATGCTGTTGAAAGGAAAGTTTAATGTCACTCACAGTTGCCCTGGAACTGAGAGGCACAGGACACCACGCAGGGCCTCATGAAGGGACCAGGCAGCAGAGAGAGGGGAACTGAGACAGTGCCTTTAGGACTATGGTGGAGGGGGAGTAATGAGGTGGGGACATCCCCTATTCAGCAGGAAGTGAACACACATATGTTAGAGTTTGTGGTTGCGAGGTTTATAATGTGAGTTTTACACTGCCATGAAAGCTGACTTGCAAGAGAGAGAGGTCAACAACTTGGGCCATTAGTTTGGCCCTGTGATAAATGAGTACCAAGTAGACAAATGACAGAGTCTAAGAAAACACAGTGAAAACAAGTGCTCCACTATGTGACTACTGCACAATTTATCGATCCATTATTGATGAGCATTTGGGTAGTTTCCAGTTTGGAGCTATTATGAACATTCTAGTATTGATGTTATAAACATTCTAATGCTTTTTGGGGGAAACATACAACTGCACCTCTGGTGAATATATGCCCAGAAGTGGAATTCTTGGATCATAAGTATTCATACACCCACTTTAGTGGATACGACCAGTTTTCCATTGTGATTTGCATCTATCCAGACACAAGTGTTCCCTTTACCCCATATATTCTCTAATACTCCATATTTTCCTTCTTTTTAATTTTAACCACTTAGGCATGAAACTTATCATTTGGATTTTAATTTCCCTGATAACTAATTAAGTGGAGCACTTTTCGTATGCTTTTAGGCCATTTGAGTATTTTCTCTTGTGAAATGTCTCTTCAAATTCTTTTGCCCATTTTTCTATTGTGTCTTTCTGTCTTTTTCTTCTTGATTTGTAGGAATTCTTTATATAGTCTGGGTATAGATCCTTTGTCAGATATGTGTATTGGGAATATCTTCTTCCACTTTGTGGGTTATCTTTCACTTTCTTAATGGTGTCTTTTGCTGAATAGTTCTTAATTTTAATATAGTCCAGTTTATCATTGTTCCTTTTATGTTTAGCTCTTGTACGTCCTGTTTAAGAAAGCTTTGCCTACTGCACGGTCATGTAGGTGTCCTCCCAGGGCCCTTCAATTTTTTAAAGTGAAGTCCTAGGGTTGCCTTGAAGGAGAGCAAGCAAGGAAGTGTGTTTGGGGTGGGCAGGGGAGATGGGTCTGACAGTCAAACTGTACCCCACCTTGACTTAATAGAAATAAAGCCTTCTTCTTTAATTGACTAATGAGGAAACTTGGGGCTCTGAGAGGTTAAGCAACTTGCCCAGGGTCACGCAGCTAGTGACAGAACTGGGACTTACACTTGGGTTTTCTAACTCCTGGCCTTGCACATTATGCATGGGGTTTGAGGATTAAAGTAAGCCAAAGAGGATCTTGGAATCCCCCCTTCCCCTCCTCCATGTCTGCATGGCTTTGCAGGAAAATAACAGGGGAATATATCACCAGGAAGAGGACGCTTGTTCTCCTGATAAGCCCTTCCTAACAGTGCAAACAGTGCTTTTTGTCCCCAGTAACATCTGCAGCCTGATGCCTCCATGTGACCACCTCTGCTTTGTCATTTCTAGGAATTCCTTCGAGGTGCTCATTGACGCTGGGGCACTCAGCTTGTTCGTGGCTGTGGGTCTGGCATCTGGTCTCCTGACAGGTCAGTGTGAGACCACCCTTCTTCTGCCATTGCCCAGGGCATAGGGCCTGGGTCCGGAGTGCACTTGACTGGATATGCATGTGCTCACCCTGCTCCGTGTGTACCTCCCCTCAGCTCCAGACAAATGAGGCAAAGGGCTCAGACTTTGATTTTAAAAGCAGACAAACACAAAATTACATCATTTCAGAATTGGAAAGGCCTTCAGAGGTCGCCTGCTATAGGTGTGGACTCTGCGGGCCAGGGAAAGGAAGAGATGTTCCTGAGGTTGTAAGTAGAAGTGATCGGTGACATTGCAGCCTCTTGCGCCCAGGGCTGGTGAGTCCACTCAATTTTGTACAGAAGGCCAAGGAAACCCTTATGCCAAAAATCTTACCTTTCATTCCCTGAGGACATCCATAATATTATTTGGTTCAGCAAATACTTATTCAATATCTACTATGAGTCAGGCACTAGGGACATAGTAGTGAACAAAACAAATTCCCTGATCTCATGAAGTTGACATTCTTGTTGCAGGGAGGGGGCGGGAAGGGCTGGAGGTTCTAGTTTACAATAAATGGAGAAATAAATGTGTTATATGTAAGATGGTGATAAGTGCTATGAAGAGAAGTAAATCAGGGTGGGGGAACAGAGTTGTATGAGAGTGGGGTGCTCTTTTAGAAAAATGAGAAGGGAAGACCTATCTATTGGGTTGTCTGAAAAGTCATGATGCATATTTGCAACGAAAAACATAGAAAAAATACATCATGACGTTTCCAACAACCCAATAATAAGTTAACCTTTAAGCAGAGACCTGAATGGAGAGAAGGAGGGAGACATACCACATGTTTATTTGGGAGATGAGCATTCACTGAGAAGGGTCAGCAAGTGCAAAGGCCCTGGGGCAGGAGCATGCTTTGCATTTTTGGGGAACAGCAAGAAGGTCAGTGTAGCTGATGTGGATGGGGTGACGGGGAGAGTAGCAGGAGTTGAGGACAGAATGGTAGTAAGGAGCCAGATCACCCTGCGAGATGGAAAGCCACTGGAGATCTTTAAACAGAGGATTGAAGTATGTTTTTGCTCCTCTAATGTGACAGAACAGCAAAGAATCTTGGGGAGTTACTAGTTTGCCAATCTTACTTATATGCCAGGTGAAAACATTCTGTTCAGAAATGTTTGCTTTTATTCTGTAAGCAAACAGCTTTTATTGGCTAGACATTCATACATTCTGGCCCTAAGCAGGGAGTGGATGCCAAATAAGAGACAAAAAAGTATAAGCAGACAGTAATAAGTTGGTGACGTTCAGCATGTCACTTCACTCTCTCTGGCTTTGGCTGGCTTCTCTGTACAATGGAAGGATTATGGTAACTAATCATTTGGCTCCCTTTCAGCTTTAAAACATGGACGAAGGTACTTTTTGGAGTTACCTGGGTCATTTTAGAGAGATTGGCTGGAATTACCTTAATGTACCAACTGGCCTCAGCTTTGGACATAGTCTGAGGTTATTATTTAAACATGGATGAGAAAAATGCCTCCCTCCATAAGTGACAGTCCAACCCTGGGTAGGGTTGCCTGATTTAGCAAATGAAAGCACAAGATGCCCATTTTTTGAATTCAAAATTAACCAAGCATCCTGTATTTTATATGGCAACCCCACACCTGGGCTGTCCCACCATTCACCATTGTCACTGGTATCAACAAAGTGACACAGACTTGCAGTCTTATAAAGCACCATGGATGACTTTCCTTATGCTTCACTGGAATAAAAAAAGAGAACAGAGGAAAAAAACACCCATGTTATTCCTGTAAGAGTTAAAACCAATGAGTTTTCCTCTTTACATGTTACTTCGGACATGAGGGAACTGGTAATTAAAAAGAACTTGGGCAACAGAAGGGGAAAGAGGCCTCCAAGCAGCCAAAATAGCACCAAATTGCCCCCACAGCCAAACATTTTACTTGTCGGTAGACCCCGTTATTTGGGGTCTGTCTATGCTGTTTAAGAAACAAATCTATCAAGCATGGTTGTTGGGTTTCCCAGTACAGGAAGATTTTAAAAAGCAGATTAGAGATGGGGTAGGTTCCTAGAGGCAAGGCACACTGGTAGAAGTTAGAAGTGAAAGCAGAGAGCCTAACAGGAAAGGAAATTCTTAAAGTGACACAAGAACATGAAAAGCTTGGGCTACTGGAAAGCAGGCCAACACCCCTCAACAACTATTGTAAATCCTTCTCTGTGTTACATAGCAATTTCCTAAGTGGATGATCCTAGCAATGGTTCTGATTCTTTAAAAAGTCTAAATGTGTTCAGGGTTGACTCATAAGACAAGAAAATACAATATGGGTTTATGTATTTAGATGGATTTTCAGGAGTGATGAGTAAGCCTCAGCTATCTGGAAAATTCATGTAGGCAACAGAGATCATTTCTGAGTAATCCTAGCTAAATGAGGGGTGCTAATTGCATCTTACCTGCCAATATCAGTCAAAGGAGTGCACAGCAAAAGGAAAATAAGAATATACACACGCCTTTCTTGTTAATCTTGCTGTTTAATACACTGGGACCAATCATCATGAAAAATACATATCCAAATCTATGAATGGCATATCCCCACTTCATGTGAAAGGTAACTCTCACTCCACGTATCCTGGAAAGTTCGGCAGACTTTGTGCAGCTAGGGGGACACACAGAGCCAAGCTCTCTGGGCAGAGGCTGGACAGGTGAACAGAATAGGCACAAATGCAAGTGGTTATAAACTACTTTCCTAACTATACAAGTGGAATCTTGAGCTGAGGTTGCTGGGAGTTTATTGGGCCTACATGGGTGCCTACTTTGAGTCGCTCTCCATGGTAGCTCTTGCGTTTTAAATGGATCAGCTTTTAAGTGGTGGCACCATCTGATAGGACCCTTCTAGTCCCTCTTGGGAAGGATGTCAGGTCCATGGCTATTGTATACCTCTCAGCATAATTTAAATCTTTTGGAGATGATTGCTCTTGCCAGTTCCTGTTAAAAGAGGTCTATACAATTAATTAAGCTGGTCTCAGAAAAACAATGCTTCAAGTTGCCTGTCTCCTGGTTGTGGAAGAAAAAACGATTTGAGATACCATAGTTGACATATGATATTTTGATTAGTTCTGAGATAACAAATGCTGTGCTCCAAATGTTTAACATTGAATTATGAATTTCAACAGGTTTGCTCTTAAAACTCAAAATATGGAGAGCGGTACCTCCTGTGGGAAAATATTTCCATGACCAAGCTTTCTGGGAGGTAAGATTTTTAACCTATTAATGTCACAGATTTTGAGTGCGTGAACTTAAAAAGGTATCTGAGCATATATATTAACTTGATGCTGATGAGAGTAAAATAAAAACAAATGAAAATGAAGTAAAGAACACTGGAGGAGGAGCAAATCTATGATGTGTGTGTGTGTGTGTGTTGGTGTTGGTGTTGGTAGAAGGTGGGGAGGTGCTAAATAGGTTACAGTTTCCTTGATGCCTCAAAGTCCCTGAGGGTCAGAGTTAAGAGAATTGTCACTGGCCACACTTCTCTCCACCTGGAGTCGTCCAAGTTTGAAGTGAAGGTGATAGAATCTTGCAATGCAAGAGCCAAAAGGACCACAAGGCCAGCAACTCGAATCCTCTCATTTGACAGATGCTTAGAGTGGAGCCAGGACTGTGACGTTCTCACAGTGACTGTATAGCGGAGCTGAATCTAACACACACTCTTGGTAAATTATAGCTAGTGGACTCAAGAAAACTTGTAGTGTAGGAGTCTGGGGTCATTCAGCTCAAACAAGTCATGTGCTACTGAGAGTCTCTGTGTTACATCGTAGCATTTGCTGTCCATGACTGGGCTAGGCACTGTCGCCCCACTGCCCTCCTTTTCATCTATACTCATAGTTTCCAAAGCACTCTGATGTGTGTCACCCTGGGTAATCTTCCAATCGATGCTGAGGCTGGCTGGCAAGTAGGGATCAATATTGCCAAGTTATAAACGGGAGTTGGTAAGCCCAGCAGCGTACCTTTGTGAGTGTCAGAGACAAGACCAGGAGCCCGACCTTCGGAGTCCCAGGCAATCCTTTCCCCACTTTATCCTGAGATATGGATCACTAAAGGGACAGAGAACCAGCCTTATTATGGGCCTTGACATTGGTGGCTGTAGGGGGAAAACAGAGAGAACCTGCAGAGAGAACCTACCTCCTTCGGCTCCTTCCTCTTCTTCAAACAGCTTTATGGAGGTATAATTGACAACGAACCACACATATTTAAAGCCTACAATTTGATACATTTAAACAGCTTCTACACCCATGAAACTATCACCACAATCAAGATAACCAACAAATCCATCACCATCAAACATTTCCCTCTGCCTCTTAGAAACTACTCCCTTCCTACCCTACTCTATCCCATCCCCAGGCAATCCCTGGGGACATCACTATAGGCTAGTTTGCATTTTCTATAATTTTATATAAATGGAATCATGTGGTATATACTCTTCTTTGTCTGGCTTCTTTTACTCAGTATCATTATTCTGAGGGTCATGCATGTGGCATGTAGCCAGCCTACCTTGTGCCAGCCTTTCTTTACAATCATTGGCTCTTGGCTTTCCCCAAAAGCCAGTGTCTTCCCGTCCCCTGGCAAATGTTCTTGTCCTTTCAGCAGAAGCAGGGTAATCTAGTGAAAGGACTCAGAGAACTGGTTTAATCCATCAATTCAGTCCACAAGTATTTACTGAGCAACTATGATATATACCAAGCACTCTGCTATCAACCAGGGATACCACAATCAGGAGAAATACTCAGCTCAGTTTCTTGAGTTGCAATGAATATTTGCTGAATAAATGAAAGAAATCTGATGATCCCCACCCAACAGCAGCCACTGCAGTAGCAGGCAAAATGGAAGAAGTGTGTACCTGGAATCTAAGGTTCTGGATTCCTGTCATCACTCTGCAAGGTATCACATAGACAAGTTCCATGACCTCTCTCACTGGTAAAATAAGAATGGTAATCTTTGCTCTACCTCAGTGGGTTGTTTTGGAGATCGAATGAGATAATGTCTGTAACTACATTCTGTAAAATGCAAACTGCCACGCGAATGTGAAAGTTTATTCCTAGGGGTTTAGCCAACCACGAAGGAATGTGTAAGCGTAATAGCTATCATTTTTTGCAAGCCTACTGTTTCTGATCTTGTGCTAGATGCTTTTTAACATTATCTGATTTTATCTTCCCAACAACCCTGCACAAGAGTTAAGTGTCCCCATCTTAAAGATGAGGAGTAACTTCTCTCAAATGACAAAGCTAGTAAATGGGACAGGAGGAATTTGAATTGGTGTCTGTTTGGCTCCAAAGACACAGCATGTGTGTACGTGTTGTGGGCAGCTACTGGAGATGTTATTCTCCCTCCTTCCCCCGAATCTTCTGATTTACTTTCTTACAGCTCAGTAGAACCTTTTGTTCAGCAGTATAACACAGCTTGCACTTGAAAACCAAATATCCATTAAAGAGGCAAGAATTTAAAACATCCAAAGCTGATAAATCCAGGGGTGACTTTTTTTGTAAACCATCTAGAAAAACATTTTAATTATTGAATACCCTTAAGGCATTTCACAGAACCAGACTGCTGGGAGTTGGAAGGGACAGCCATGTGCCTGGTGACATCAATGTGTCTGGCACTTGCTGGGATGGGGCACTCATACTCCCCAAGGGCACCCATCTCATCCAAGGATGGTTCCAAGATGCACTTGTTCATTCACTAATCCCATTAAATGTATTATGATCTAATATGTGACAGAGCTCTTATGTGACAAATCTAGAGAGACAAATCTAGTTCTAGGTCTCAAGGAGCTGCATATACGAATCCTTTAACTTCTGGTAGATTACAACAATCCTAACCCATGTACTAATTTAAAAAATTCAGTTTATAACACCATTTTTCATGTGCTTTCACTATGAGAATAAATCAGTTCCTTCAGCTCTTTATTTCAATTTAATAAACCATGAGTTTTATTTCTTGCTTTCCAAAGCCCAAAGCCCCACTGACTCCCGCTTATGAAAATTAACTCCACAGTTAGCCTTTCTAAAGAAAGGAACTTTTCTGTGAGTCTACTGTGGATAAGCCCATTTTGAGTATTGTGCGGGGGTGTAAACAGAGAAAGTAGGGCTTTAACCACTTTGAAGGACTGGATCTTTATATATGTACAGCTCTATCTATTAAGTACTAAAAATGTAATCCTGGCTGTAGCTGCTGGAAAGTTAGAGGAGGGAGTGCTCGTGAGTTTGGGGAGGTCAGGGAAATGGAACTTGGAGTTGTGTTGAATTTGGCCAAGCGACAGGATGTGAAAGGCATTGCGGGGGAACACTGAGCAAGAACAGGAGCGTGAAGCAGCCTGGCTCAGCAGAGTTGGTGAAGAGAAGGTGAAAGCTGGGCTAGAGCCCCTTGCATCATCCTTGAGGCAACTGGAAGCTCCCAAAGGTTTCTGTGGGGAACTGATGCAATGAAATGAATGTTCTGGAATTGAGAATGACAGAAGTCAGCATGTAGGATGGATTCCGAAATGACTTCAATGTGCTGAAGCTCATCCATTGGCTTCTGAACAAGTATTTGCAGTTTCTTGTTAAAATAATTTTATTGCCAAGAAATATAAATACTACCACCATTTTGGCACAAAAATGCAGCAAAATGTGTTAAGTTCCCCCTGCTGTTTTATACAAAATTCTCAAAACCGAGCCTTGTCACACTGATATCACCCTGGCTTCTGAATGAAAATAAACGGTCTAGACACACAGTAAGGGTCCAACAAACGCTTGTTCAACCGAACTGAGTGTTCGCTTTTAAAATCAAGTAGGAAAACAGATGAGGAACCTGCCAACTGACTCCTCCCCTCTTGGAGAGGCCCAGTGCAGAGCCTCGTTCCAGGAGGCAGATCTGAATTCCAGTCCTAGCTTATCACTGGCAGGCTGGTGCCCTCAGGCAAGTCGCTTTCCTTCTCTGGACCTCTGTTTTCTCATTTGTAAAATGAGATCACATTCCACATTCTGGATCCGGACAGACCTGGGTTCTGCCACCTCTAACGCTGTGATGTCTCAGAGCTTCAGTGTCCCCCCATCTCTGAAATGGAGATAATAGTAATGTCTCCCACAATGTTGTAAGGATTTAAAGGAGATAATCAGTAATTAGCTCACTGATCCGTACGAAACACCCCATGAATGTTAGCTACTCTGATTCCCAGTTCTAGAATTCTGTGATCCCAGCTCCGCCATGAGCAGGGATGTTGTATGGCAAGGTATAATAGGGCACACCTGAAGAATTCAGGATATATTTAGCTTGTAGAAGAGAAGACCCAAAGGAGACCTAAGAACAATCCTCAAACGCTTAGAAAACTGTCAAGTGGAAGAGAAAAAAGGCTGCAAAATGAAATGAGCTCCTTCATATGGTAGCAAGTTCATTGTCACTGCAGGCATTCAAACAAAAGCCAGATAACTATTTAGCAACGATTGGTGTAAAGAATTATACGAAATGAGATCTAAGAGCTCTTCTAATTCAGATTTTATGGAAGAACCTCTGAGGGCTTTGTGATGAGACCACATTTTGGTCAATATAAATTTCAAGAGATCAAGCCAGAATCAGTATGTGCACAGATTTAAGAGTATAAGGGTTCATCTGTAATAAAAATGTTTGCTTTGCTTTTCCAGTTTCCTCATTTGGCTGTTGGATTCTAAGCAAAAGCATCCAAGAAAAACACGGCCTATTCCAAAACAAGAGAGCTTCCTTTCACTGCTGCCCATCTAGGTTTTGCATGCGACCGACACTTATTACAGCAAAGTCTCCTTACCTTATGTACAATGAAACAAGGTCAGAGATAAGATTTGATTTTAAAAATAAAAGACTTGTGTAAGTGGTAATTTCATAACGATTTGAAATAAATGTTTGGTTTCCTTAAAAATGATGCTGTCAATATTTTCTTGGGTACGGCACATAATTAAGGTTTTGGTTAAACTTTACTGAAACTTCTTAGATTCTATTTCATGCTTCACAAAATATGCTACCCAGTTAACTCTTTCTTATCTATACCAGCAGAGCAGATGATAAAAAATAAGGAAAAATGAAGAACTCACTTACATTAGTCCTTGCTATTGTTATTTTTATTTTTATTAGTTTCCAGTATACAAAACAACGTCTGGAAAGCACAAATTGGTAACCAGACACTATGTTTTTATTCCAGCAGTTTTCAAGGTAGTTCTTATTGCCTGAGCACGGTCTGAATTTAACTGCAGGGAAAGACGTCACGGTCAGTTGTGGAGATGCATTGCCCTAAGGTTAAAAAAACGAGTTCTATGACCTGGAGAAAATCATTTCAATTTCCATAGTCTCGGTTCTCTCAAAGAGAAAGTGAACTTCAAACTGTAAGATCCCCTCCAATACTCACATTCCATGGATCGAAAAACTCACCATGACTGATTTGCTGTGGGAGGACATCATTTCTTTGAGTAGAGTCTTGATGACCAGGCCATATTCAAAACATACATACTGGGAGATAATTATGTCTGACATGGAAAAGGGTACCACAGATTCAAATCATATGAGAGGTATTTTGTGTTTAATGAAGGGCTAATTGTAGCAAACTTTATGAAAGAAAACATTTCAAGAGGTAGTTCTGAAGAACATGTATCCCATAGTTAGCTAGTTCATTAAAAAAAAACATTCCTGGGCCGGCTGAGTGGCGCGTTGGTTAAGAGCTGGCTTGGGACGCCGGCTCTGAGCAGCAGAGCCCCGGTTCAGATCCCACATGAGGGCCAGTGACACTGCCCTCTACAGCTAAGATGGTGAACAACAGCTCGACCTGGAGCTGGGCGGCCGTGAGTCGCGGGCGATGGTGTAGGCTGTAGCCCCTGCGGCAGTGAGCTGCCATAAAGCTACCATGAGTGGCTGGCAGCCGGTGTGAGCTGCCAAGAGCCGCCATGAGCAGCTGTCCAGAGGCCGGCGACCGATCTGCCTCACCAGGGAAGAGCGCAGTGATAGTATCAACATGGGCCAGTGAAGCAACGTCCTCCACAACTAGACTGAAGAACGAAAGGAGAGCAACCTGTCTGTTCCCCTGCCCCCGATTCCCTAGCACTGTTCCCCTCCCTCAATTCCCCAATAAAATCTTTAAAAAAACAACAACAACAACAAAAAAAAAATTTCCCATTTTGCCAAGGTAGGGAGCCTGGGGATTATAGGGTTCCAAAAAGGAACAGACTATGAGAATTCCAAGGAGTAAATGTTTGTTATTATAATTGACCTTGCTGGTCTATTTTGAGCTTAGTGGTTTAATACAGAGACACAAGGAAACATGGAATCCAATTTATTATCAAACCAACAATAAAATGTTACTTGAGTAGGAACTAGTTTCAAGTCCCTACCCTCTTCCTCTTTAATGGTAGATGTGGAGTGACCATGATCCCACCAGGACCATGTGTCACAGCTGAGTTATTACCAATGCCCCCAACTCTACCCCACTCCGCACTGAATTGGTGGCACAAAAGGGATACTTTTGAGGAGCCTGGTGGCTGGATCAGGAGCTGCTCTCTTCTGCCATGTTCACTCACCTCTTGGGAGGCTCTTAATAGTTACTTGACTGAAATGTTTACAGAATTTTTGGCAAAACTGTATAAACCAAACACAAAGTATAGTGAGAAAGAATTCTAACCACCGAATAGTTTTTAAGAACACGAAAATGTTTATATGTCACTTAACATTTGACACAAAAGAGGCCACATTTACATAAACACATTATATCTTCAGAGCACTTTAATTGCAGTTTTGGATATGACAAATATTTGGATATGACAAATATTCATAAGATGTACCCATAATTTCTTTCTTAATTTATTTTTATTTTTACAAATTATACCATGATAACACTAATAAAAATTACTCATGTGAAATATTTGTCTTTAACATTTTATAAGTTAATCAAATGTATACCACAATAGCTTTTGTTGTTGTTTACATAGGGAGTTCTCATGATTTTAGTTAAACACAAATTTAAGCTGAGACTACACTCAGAAATAAGTTTAGAAAGTGGCGTTACAAAAGACTGGGAGTGAGTAGTAAAAAAACCAAACAAACCCATGTGGGGCTGCTGTACAGTAGGAGTAATTCAGGTGCTTTCACTGCCACAGGTCTTCAGTGCGGCCAAACTTAAAAACCAGTCCTCTGTGAATAAAATAAGAAACACCACATGACTAGCTAAGTTTGGGAAAAGAAAGGACGTGTGAGATTTCGAATTGTGGGAAACTAGGATCAATGAATAATTGACGAGTTGTATGAAAAAAACCATGGGATGTATCAGAACAGAAACTGATCATTCTAAGGTGGTCAATTCTTCCACCGCACTCAGCTATGCTACTTATCACCAGCTTCCCTACATCCTTACCTATGAGTATTGAGGACATATGTGTATGTCACTCTTAAAAAGTTAACCAATGTTTAGTATATCAACATTGTATGTCTGATTTGATCAAATTCAATTCAACAAACCTTTTTTGAGTGTTGAGGTGCTAGGTGCTCGATGCTAGAGCTATAAAGATAAATAAGATATACTCCCTGCCCTCAAGTTGCTCACATTCTTGATGACGCAATGTGGTTAAGTATTAGGGGGGAAAACAGGTATATATACCAAATGTTAAGGGAGTATAGAAATACATAGAATTTATTCTGCCTGAGTGTATTAGAAAAGGATTTATAGAGGTGGGACTATTAGACAAACTTTGAATGATAACCCGGAGTTTGAATGGGAGGTTGGTGGGTATGGGAGCTAATGGGGTGATGAAGGAAGATGTTTCAGGGAGAGGAAACAGTATATCAAAGGGGCATAAAAGACCACGGGCCCTCAGGAAAAGCGCAGGACATCAATTTGTCAGGAACATGCCCTCACAGAGCTTACAGTCTAGGGTTTAGGTGGGGAAGTGTCTATGGTTGTCCTTAAGGCTTCAGTTTAAGAGGGACAAGAGGGCAATTATATGCATAAGAAGATATACTCATATATGTATATATCTACATCTCTATAGATATAGATACAGATATCCGAGGTGTAGTAGAACGGGGCAGAGTCCACTATGGATAGATTACAGTTTAAGAGACAAGAAGGATAGGGAATGGAAGTGGCCGAGATCTGGTAAGTAAATTGATGAGGCTGACAAGTTGCCTGCAGGGACCTTGGGTGTCTTAAATGAGCCAAGGCGGCAGGTGCTGGCCTGTATGCTCTGCTAAAGGGGGCGACTGGATGAACAATGAATGAAATGGGGCTAGGCGGAGATGCAGCGCCTATTTAAAGGGAAGAACTATTCAGCTCCAGCTGACTGTTGCTGTGTGGGGCCCAGGGTTGTCAGATTCTCCAGTTTTTCAAGAAACGCCAAAAATCCCTATTTTTAGGTAAAATCTCTTGATTTTTAAATGTCAGCTCCATAAAACAGAAAATTACTGTATAGGCTAAATAAAACAGAACTGTGGGTAGAATTTGGCTGGATGGCCACTAGTGGTGATCTCTTCTGTAGACAGCTGAGTTCTGAAAAATGGAAAACTAAGATGAAAAATGATAGGATTATAGCCATATTTCAGAAGGAAAATTAACAAAAGAAAACTGGATATAAGAGAGGAACCAGTTAGGGATGCAAACTGCTCAGGAAGGGATGGTGGGGACTGAACAATGGAAATGGACAAAAAGAGAAGGGGTTGAAGACAATTCAGATGCAGATTCAACAGGGCTCGCATGTGAGCGGTAAGTGCGCGGTAAGTGCGAGGGAGAAACTGAAGACAGAGGTAGACACTTTAGTGGCCTGTGCCGGTTTTCATTTTGTTTTCCCATCGCTGGTGTATACTCAAGGTTAAGTCCCCAGTCAAAATGATCCATTTAAAACAGGTTTCATAGGCCTTTATAAAGGTAAACACTGAGTGTTTTTGATGAAAACAAAAATGCAACCAGGAAGTTACCTATAGTCTCTCTTGGAAGTATATTCATTTCTCTTCACAAAGGAATCATTCACCTCTAAAAGGTGATTTGAGCTCTGCTTTTCCAGTTAAGATCAGAACTACTGTTGCAAAAAAAGAAAAACCCAAGTTGGTTATTAGGGGCCTCTGTTCTCCCGATAGTAGAGACATGATAACTTCAGAACACTAGCTAACAGATGTAAACTGTGAACTGAAGTTTCCTGGGCAAGAGCCAATCCCTCCTACACTGTCAGATGGTCACCTTGGTACTAACAGCTGTTTCTGATTTCTGAAATAGTCATTTCTACGCTGTTGCTAAGCATTGTTATGTCAGAATGAAGGCAAACTACTCTGATAATGGCGTCCACTAGCTGAATTTAATTTCAATTTGCTCATAGTATTTTCACAGAACCAATTAGTTTTTAGACTTAATAGGTACAACAGTAACAAATGAAAAATTAACCAAACTTGTTGCATAAAACAGTCATTTATTATAACTAATTTGAGATGGTAAAAAGTCAACAATCGGTTTCCAAGGTTTTGTGAAATGTGGTAACAACCGAATGAACATGTGTGTTTCTGCCTTCCTTGGAAGAAATAAAATTTTCCCACAAAGCCTCCTCTCAATCCTGTCCCTTCCTGCTGTGACAGAGTAACTTGCCTGCCAAAAGCAGTGTCTCAAGGTGGAACTTGCTTTATCATTTATCTCTACCAGAGTAAATAACGATGAAAATAAAGAAGGTTGTTGCTTGCCCCACCCTGGCTGGTTCTCAGTAAGTCCCCTCTGTACAACTCCATCCCAAAGCCTTTCTTACCCTGCCTCTGACCCGGTTACACTACCTTCCCTTGGTAAAATTTAAAAATTTGCTTTTAAAACTCTTTGGGTTTTCTCCACTAGTTTCAGGACACAAGGTATGACCCGAAGAGGTTGTGTACCTTGCTTCATCTAAGTTCACATTTTTTTTTTATTCCCAAATGGATTTTATAAAATTGCAAAAATGCCTGTGGTAAAATGGAATAAGTGTGGATAACAAGTGCTGCCTATCACTGAAGTGCAACTATTACTATTAGAATTTCATGAGTAGCTAAAGTAGATATGGGGCTTCTATTTCCTTTTTGGGGGTGGGTGGAAAGGGATAGGGAAAGTTAAGTCCTAGAATATACAGCACTTTTTTAAAACCTTTTTTGGATTAGGGACTTCTTTGAAAATCTCTTCCCCAAAACAAGCAGAAATACCAATGTCTTGCATATGGAAATGACTGGTAGTTTCCTGTCATCAGAAGCCTACCCATGTAATGGAGGTTAAGAACTCCTGATACAGAGGATAAAGAGAAGGATTTTTGTTGTTGTTGTTGTTTTGGGTTTTTTTGGGAAGTGGGGGGGGTAGAGGAGGTAGGGGAAAGTGCAGGCCCTCAATGTCCAGAAAAGAATAAACATTAGAGAAGATTACTGATGAAAGTATTAAGGTTTTTAGGGGTTCTATTAATCTTTTAATATGTCATTGCATCAGAAGGATAAAACAAATTAGGGCTTTTCCCTCACACCTCAAATCTCATGGACAAATTCGAATGACACCAGAGACAGAACTATAAAATGCACCCAGAAACAAAATTTTAATAAGAAATGGTGTTAAGCTGGCTTTTATTAAAAGCAACTGTTAGAGATACAGATTTAATGAACATTGTTAGTTCTACATCTAAATCTATACTAGTCACAGTTCTTCATTAAAGGGGAGGTGATGGCAATTTTTAAAATCAATGTATGCTCCCAAGGTTGGCAGCAAACCAACCCATGTATAAAAAAATCTCTTTTATTCTATGTTTTATGACAATAACATTGAAGGAGGAGCGTTGGACGGGGTAAATTAAGCAGCTAAACAGAGTAAATGACATAAAAGAAACTATTACAAACAAAAATTTAAGAAGTTAGGATACAGAATACAAAACTTACCCAAAAAAGATGAAGGCATTTTGGAAAAACACAGCAATTCCAGGGTATACAATGGGTTTTTCTGTAAAAATAACGGGAATATTTAGTGGTTTATCATCTCAAAACATTTAGTTTCTGATACACTGGTGAATATCAGTTTTCCTGCCTAACGTAATTGATTTTCCTGGTAATTACAGTTGGTTTGAGTATTAAATGACGTAATAGATATGGCACTGGTTTAGTAAATGATCGCTCCCTTCATTCATTTAACAAATGTTTACTGAGTGCATACTATGTTTGGCATTGTTCGCTGTGCTGAGGATACAGCAGAAAATAAAACTGGCAAAATTTTTTTGGCTTCACGGAGCTAGACAATACAGAGAATAAATAAGGAGAAAACAATAACAACAGGAAAGGTACAGGAGGCGCAGTGAATGATGACATTCTATAAAGGTGGACAGGGACCTCGTGAGAAGGTGGCACTGGGTAAAGGACAGGAAGGAAGTGTGGGCAGGGGCCATGCGGAAGCAGGAGAACTGCAAGTGCAAAAAGCCTGAGGCGGGAACACGCTGGTACCTTAGAGGAATGGTCATGTGGGCAAAAGAGAGAAAGCAGGAGACAGATGAGAGAAATACGAGGGGCGAGCTGGGGGGTGAAGAGCCTACAGAGCTGTGAGGTCATGGCGAAGGCTCTGACTTTTACTCTCCGTGAGATGAGAAGCCAGTGGAGACTTTGAGCAGAAAAGGGACATAAGCTGATGTATTTTGTTGTTTGCTTTTTTGTTTGTTTGTTTGTTTGTTTTTGTTTTTAGCTGAGCCATCCTGCTACCTGTTGGCAGCTCAGCGGCTGCTCAGCTCGGGCTGGACTCGAACCGCTGTTGCTCAGAGCTCAAACTCTTGAGCGAGCTCTTAACCAACTGAGCCACTCGGCCGGCCCAAGCTGATGTATTTTAATAGGATCCCTGTGGCCGCTGAGCTGAGTGTAGACTAAATGCAGGCAAGTGGAAGAACAGAAACCAGTGAGGAGGCTACTTCAGGAAAACAGGCAAGAGACCATGATGGACTGAGGCAGAGTGGAAGCAATGGAATCAATTCCAGATATATTTTAACAGCAGGATCAACAGGATTTGCTGATGGACTGGATGTAGAGTAGGAGAGAAAGGGAGGTGTCATCTTTGACAGGCTGTAACCACCCAGGGTTTTGGGCTTAATCATCTGGAGGGAGAGCATAGCCACTACCTGAGATGGGCAAGACTGCCGAGGAACGCTTTGCTCTGATTGTATCCTGGACTAAAGTTGAAATTCTCGTTAAGTTCCTACTATCAGCTGTCAATGATTACGCACTAATTGACAAACCAAGGCATGATGAATAGATGAACTGTCAACTTTCTCTGAGAATAGTTTTAATCTGGTGTTCACCATAACATCTGGTTTGTACAGGCCTTCACTACTAGAAAGCCACATTAAATAGCTCGCATTCAATAACTATTATCACTAGAATGGCTCATGAAGACCCTAAAGAACGGCAACTTTATAAAATCACAGATCTGCTGCCAATGATCTCAAAGTATAACCTGGCTCCAGAAGCCTTTTGGAAAATAACTTAAAATGCTACGAGATGAACACATTCCTACAAAAAAGGGGCTCTGTGTTAATAGTTGTATCTGAGAAAGAAGAATTAATTTTATTTCCTTCTTTGAGCTCTTTTATAGTCTCAGTTTTCTACAATAAACAAGCATTATGCAAGTCAAATGATAAAAAAGCAATGTTTTTGTCTTTAAAATATGAGGGTGACAAAGGTTTTGTAGCAGCAAGAACTACTTATGATATCATGTTAAATGCAAAAAGCTGGGCTCAAAATTGTTTTTATACTATGATTTATAACAACATAAACAACAGAAGAGGCCATAGGCAATATACCAAATATTTAAGAGCACTAAGATTATTATAGTTTCTTTTAGGTGTCTTCCTTTTCTATGTTTTGGTAACACTGTTTGATAATAAATATATAAACAAAAGAAAAAATATAAATTGTTTAAATGCCTATCATTCCTGTCTATAAGATTTAAGTGATTTTAATAAAAATTTAGCAAGGGCCGGCTGAGTGGCTCAGTTGGTTAAGAGCTCGCTCAAGAGTTTGAGCTCTGAACAACAGCGGTTCGAGTCAGCCCGAGCTGAGCAGTCGCTGAGCTGCCAACAGGTGGCAGGATGGCTCAGCTAAAAAAAAAAAAAAAAAAAAAAAAAATTTAGCAAGCCCATGATTTTAATCCAAGATATATTTTACTCCAAGAAGTAAAGGGTTAAAATATGAGCTAGAGTAGATCTCTGCTGGTCCTGTTCTTGCAAATAATGTATGTTTACTATGATAACCATAGTCAGTTTTACCTGGAACATTAAGTGGTTTTCATATTTTTCTGGGATCTCTCAGGGTAAAGTTTCAGTCAAGGACCTAAGAGCAGGACCTTTTCCTAAGCTTACCTTAAACTGGCCTTATATAGCAGATGCACATTAAATGCTAATTTACTTTTCTATCTAAAAGGAGAGGATTTCATATTATCAGGGAGACTTAGCTCAATAAATTCAATTCTAGGATGTTACAGCTTTGCATGGATATTATTCAGCAAGTCAAAGCCTGCCAAACAGCTAGACAACATATATATTCTGCTTTTGAGGTTTTTGGAAGCCAAAGAGAGCAAGGTTTGGAGCTGCGTCCCATTTCTTCCAGGCTCTAGATTAGAAGGAAAAATATAGACGAAAGGGATACTAAAAAACATACTGAACAAACAAAACAAAATACTGATGGGAGAGGAGAGTTCTCAGGCATAAATGCATTGCTAGTAGTTGGCCTGTCTGTATGAAAAAAGCTTTATTTTAAAATGACCAACTTTAACGCGCAATTTCAGTATTCCATTGAAGTAAAACGTAAACTTTCTCTTACCTTTGGCAACATAACCTCCAAAGAGAATCCACATAGATGCAATCAGAGAGCCAAAGGCCAACATGAAACCAATGAACAGCCAAATGCGAGCACCTTAAAAGAAATAACATTTTACCAGAATTGTTTCTCATATGGCAGAAGTCAGTTCGATTAATTTTTCAGAAAGAAAACAAAAACTGGAACCGATAAAAATAAGTATTTGCCATTAAGGTCTAAAATAAGAAGAGTGGGAAGATGTGCTGAGTATCTTTCAACAGTGAAGACACTGGCTTTTTTCTTGTTGGCTGATCTGTGTATTTTAAGTACCTATATTTACTTCCTCTAAATATGTACACTGAGAAAAACTTTCCTCAACCATTCAATAAAAATCTCACAAAATATGTTGCACCATATTTAGTGCTCATTTTCCATATATTTTTAGAATTTGTGCTCTAAAATTTAAAGTTCTCCAAGAGACCTTTCAAACAAAAACACTGGTGTAATTACCAAAAAATTCATATTCAGCAACATGTGAATCTATTTCACTTTCAGCGAAATCAGGCAGCAAAATAAATTCAAATTTATTGTGACTGGCACTTAGAAAAGCTGAATTAAAATTATGTTAATAGGGGAAAACAATCAACTTTTAAATCACATTTATACAATATTTATGATGATTTGCTATAAACTAAATGGTGTCATTAGACTCCCTAAAATGAATTCTGAGATGAGTTTTTTTAATTAGCATGAATCAATTTTAATAAAAACACTGCCCTGTTCACTAAAGCATGGCAAACAGAATGCTATAAATTTCTGACTTTATATCCAAAACATAAAAAAATAGTTATGAAGTAATAAACTATTACTCATAGATGTGATAGTAAAAGAAATACAAACTGGTTCTGAACTCCCAAAACTATGCTACAATAGCTAACAATTTTTATTTAGAGATGTGATGGCCAAATTCTAGTCCTAGCTCTAGCTACTATCGTCTTATTATTATCAACACTAACTGCTAACATTCACCTATTCCTTTCGAGTTTACAACGTTATGGTAGATCAGTGTTTCTGCATTTCTTCTACCTAAGTTCATTTATGAAGAGGATGAACCAAGAAGAGAGTCTGAAAACATCGATCAGAGCTGACAAGTGTAGTTTCTCCTGTTTTATTAAAAAAAAAAGTCACTTGAAATTTGCCTATATCCAAATTTATTTTCGTATGGATGTAATATTTTAGGTTTTACCATTTAAATAGCTTAATAAGTATCTGTCCACTCAAATCTTTGCGTAAACTGGCCTCTAGGAAGCTGTGCCACTTGTGTCCCGTATTGTGCTACCTTGGGTACATGGCAATGGAGTCCAGGGGATATGAGTTCCTCGGTTGAGAAGGAAAGCCCTGGGTGAATCTAAGCACTAAATTCTATTATTATATTCAGTTTCGCAAGATAAAAAGAGTTCTAGAGGTTGGTTACACAACGTGAATGTACTTAACACTACTGAACTGTATACTTAAAAATGGTTATGATGGTACCTTTTACGTTGTGTATTTTAAAACACACACAAAAAACTATGATTCTAAACTCTTTCAAAATGCTAATTCATTCAATCAAATCAAACAAGGTTGGGAAAAAAAGGAAGAAAATAATTTATATGGTATAACTGAAAGTACTATAAGTTCTATTTTGCTTATGAGTATATATTTATTATACACTGTTCTTTACTGTATACATTTATATCTACACATTACTGCACAGGGTTATATGCTCAAAACTGCATAAGTGTACTATAAAACCAACTTAGACCAAATAAAACTTTTACCTTATGTCTTGGAACTTACAACATCTGCTCTGCATACACCTCCATCCTATCCCTGATCTGAAGGAGTTAGACAAGTGACCTTGCCATGTATAATTCTCATTTTAAGGATGCATAGTAAGATATTGTTTGCACCTATTTACCTGTTTGCCCCATGCAACCTTCACTGTAACTATCACCCCGGACTTGTCCATTCGATACTGCATTGATCCTGTATGAATAAAATAAAACCAAGAAATCAGGGTCTCGCACTCCAAGAGAAGACTATCCATGACATCAAATTACCAGACACAATAAGCTAGCGTTCCTCAAATTTAAGGTTTGGTCTCATGAGTCTTGAATAATGGGTTCACAGGACCTTAAGCAAGTCCCATCAATCAGATATCCTCTAAAACAGTGGGTATAGTCCCAAGACCAGCAGAATAAGTTATCAATTAGGAACTCATTAGAAAGAAAATTCCCTGGCCCCACCCAAATTTAGTGAAGCAGAAACTCTGGATATGGGGCTCAGCAATCTGAGTTTTAACAAGTTCTTTAGCTAATTCTGATGCTTTTTAAAATGTGAGAGTGAAATTCTCAAAATAGTTAATTATACCTCATTAAGAGAAACTCTCAAAACCATATCTGGGTAAGATTGGAACAATCTTTAGCTTGGTCCTATCTAGTTTTCCATTTGTACATATCAGGCATACTCAACACAGAGATTCGAGTGGTAAAATATTTTTTCAATTCCTGACACATGTTCCAAATGGTCTTTCACTGACTTTCATAGAGAACCACTAAGCCTTGTCTTCTTTAGAAATATCAGATTGGTGCAAAAATAATTGTGGTTTTTGACATTACAAATAATGGCCAAAACCACAATTAGTTTTGCACCAACATAATATCCTTTAAAAAATTTTTAAATGTCATGGGAAAATGTTCACAATATATCAAGCTAAAAAATTAAACATTATATACATTTTCTATACAGGTGAGGGCAGAGGCTGTGTCTACCTTGTTTCTCATTTTTATTCTCAGTGCCTAGCACAGGTCTTGGCACATGTAGGTGCTCAATAAATGTATTGACTATCTGAACCCTAATTTTTTTCACAATATTATGACGTCTTAACTTATTCATTCAAATCTAAGTTTTAGAATGATCAAAATACTCATAATTATTTTCAGTGACCTCTATTTAACTAAATTATTTGGTACATAAAATAAATATATTTTAAACAAGGTTCATATTTTTAAAATGCAGATTAGGTTAGTGCTTCCTAGGTTAGTGGTTCTTAGCTCTCGTTTTTCCTTGCTGAACCATTTGTATGAACTTCATGACTTTCTGTCAGACAGCCATGACTCTGCCTTGTCAGTTTTCACTATCAAGCACATTCTCCAACAGTCTCTATTTGTTCTCTGGCATTACGAGTTGTATATATAATCCCGAACTCACAGAAAAGTTACAAGTATAGTTTAAATAAATTTTTTTCCTGTAACATTTGAAAGTTGCCAACATGATGTCCCATAACCCCAGAAAATGTACTACCTACAAACAAGACTGTATGTATTTCCCACAAACAAGGCAGTTCTACAGAAACACAATACAACCATCAAAATCAGGAAATGAACAATGATCCATTATCACCATTTAATCTTCAGATTTCATTCAAGTTGCCCAGTTGTCCCAGTAATGGTCTTAATAACAAAAGGGTCCTGTCCAGAATCATGGGGTACACTTTGTTCTAATGCCTCTTTAGAGTCTCCTCAGTCTGGAACAATTCTCCAGTCTGTTGCTTTTATTACCTCGACTGTTTATTCCAGTCATACTGGTATCCATGCCACAGAGCCTTTGTACTTGCTGTTCTATCTGGAATCATTCTCTCCTATATTGGGTTGTCGGAAAAGTCATGACACATTTTTGCAATAAGAAACATAGAAAAATACGTCATGACTTTTCCGACAACCCAATATATCCCCATGATGAGTATCCCCAAAAAGACTTCATTTCTTCAAGTCTTTACTCAAAAATCACCTTTTTAGTGAGGCATTCCTTGACTCCATTTAAAATTTCTACCCCCCCCTGCTGACACTGCGTATCTACCCTGTTTTTTTCTCGCTAGCGCTTATCATCATCTAACATGCTATGTATTTATTTCTCTTGCGGTTACTATCTACCTCACTCATTCGAGTAACAAGTCCATAAAGGCATGGATTTCCCCATTTTATGCACCACTGTATTTCCTGTTCTTACAGCAGTCTGGGAATATAATAGCTTAACAAATATTTGTTGGTGAGCGAATAAACAAAACCCTTAGACAAAGTACACGGTATCTGACCTAAAAATAAAGTTAGAAACATTAGCAATACAGAAATTAAAGGAGAGCTGACAGAAGCTTGGAGATAGAAGTGGGAGAAGAGAGGTGAAAGGAAGAACAGAAATGAGGGCTACTGCTCTTCTTTATAAGTCCTTCTCTTCTATTTAACTTTTAAATTGCCTAGTGCTAATTTAATATTTCAAAAATTTAAATCTACTCAACTATATATAAAACATTTTTATTTTGTGACAATCTAGTAATTAGTGTCACTAACAATGACACTTACATTAGGAAGGCTATGGTTGCTATAACACCACAGGCATGGTATGAATGGTTGAACTGATCCATAGAGGGGTAAATGACAGCTGCATCTATGATAATCCACCAGCCTGTAAAAAACTAAAACAAACAATAAAAGGCGATGCCAATGAGAAATTATAGTCATTTCATGTCTTACAGGCTAAAAAGAAAGCAACGTATCTAAGTGAAGCAATCTCTCCAAATGAAATTTCAAAATTTTTATAAATGTTCCATCAGTTTCTTGCTTATAATTTGTATACGGCTTAATGTGTGATTAAAAATTAGATACCCTTAAGTCTGATGGCAATTAGTATTTATTAACATAAACTTTTTTTCTAAGTCTACTTCAGTCATTATTTTCTGTTGTCATAATAAAGTCTGTAATCTAATTTTGTGAGCTAGAAATGAGCTACACTATCCCATGACAGGAGAAAGGTAAAAAATGACTCAGATTCCAACTGACAAAAACAGTGGCCTGTTGCTGATATATTTTAAGCCTCCAGAAAGACACATTTATTGAAAAGTAAAAGAAATATTCGATATAATATGGGGAATAATTACTGTTAGAATTTTAGCTATCCTGTTGGTGCTGTGAAATAAGAAATGGCTGCAATTCTGCTTTTCCTTTTGATTAATTCCAATGCAGTCTACAGATGGTTTCAGGTGTGATGATAAATTCAATTTAGCACCAAATTATAATTTATCTTAATTGAATTTGGTTCTGGATAGTATCAAGGGTAAATATATAATGAAAAAAACCATTAAAACTGCACAAATGTTTTTTATCATCTGAGCAAAAACTCACAATAAGATATTAAGCAAATTCTGACAAGTAGTTTAGGTTTTGAAAGTAACCCCTTACCCTACCCCCACTCCTAAACCTGACCCAATTCGCTGTGGAAATGCCACCTTTTGACAATTATTTAAAAATAACTATTTTAGGCTAATCAAATTATTTTTATGAGGATATAGACAGATTCATATACTTACTAATGACATTTTTACTGGCTAGCACAAGTACTTTTACTTTTTTTTTTAACCCTCAGCTCAATGTATTCAAGATATTTATTTTCCTCACAGACCAAATTTCAAAGTATTTTTTGTTGTTTTTTGATGTTTATGAGAGCAGACTTCTATAGTAGTTTTATATTTGACCATTACTTTGGAAAAATTTTTGGATAAATAAGAATTTTATAGGGCCTGCCGAGCGGCGCGATGGTTCAGATCCCACATATGAGGGCCAGTGATACTGCCCTCCACAGCTAAGATGCTGAACAACAGCTCAACCTGGAGCTGGGCTGCCGTGAGTGCCGGCAACGGCATAGGCTGCAGCCACTGCTGCAGTGGGTTGCCATGGGCTACCGTGTGTAGCCAGCAGCCAGCGTGAGTGGCCAGCAGCCGCAGTGAGCGGCCGTCCAGAAGCCGGCGATTGATCTGCCTCACCCGGGAAGAGCGCAATGATGGTGCCAACTTGGGCCAGTGAAGCAACATCCTCCACAACTAGATTGAAGAACAAAACGACAGCAACTTGTCTGTTCCCCTTCCCCCAATTCCCCAGCACTGTTCCCATCCCCCGAATTCCCCAATAAAAATCTTAAAAAAAAAAAGGAATTTTATACTGTAAGTTACTTCTAAGCATTATATTTTAATGAGTTTCCTGGTTTGTTTCTTTAATGAGATTGAGAAAGCTAAGTCTGTATTATGGAGAAATGCAATGATGTCTCCGGACTGGTTTTGATCTGATTGTTTCTTAACTACTTCCTGGTAACTTAATTTACTCGTTAAGTGGAGACATAATCCATATAATGAATAAATGTTTAAAATATACTGTCTTATACCATTTTACCACGCAATTAAAGAAAAACAGCCAACCTACTAATAAAATTTCAAACCGTAATTTCAATTAAGAGTTGGAATGAAACAAATAACTCAATCCCCTCAAAAACAAAACAAAATATCAACATAAAAATAAATGCAGCAGTCAAGGATAATATAAATAGTTCATATTTTAAAACATCGTACGGAATTCAAAACATAAAAGCAAAGACACCAAAATAACGAAGGCCCAAATTATCAATGATACTTACCAGAACACCAGCAGCAATGGAAGCAATAGTATTGCGTTTTTCCCCCCAATCAATGCATTCTGAACATCTTAAGCCTTCTAGAAATCCAGACATTTTTTCAGATCACTTCAAAAACCAAACAAACAAACAAACAAAACAAATAAAATACTTGTATTTACTTCCTTCAAACCTGACTACGTTCTTAGAAAATATTTAACAGTTCAGAATTAATTTAATACAAGTGAAGTTACAAATACAATTGACCCTTGAACAACAAGGGGACTTACAGGTGCCTAACCCCACGCAGTGGAAAATCTGTACAACTTTCGACTCTCCCAAAACTTAACTACAATCCCTTGGTATCACGGGGGATTAGTTCCACGACCCTTGCAGATACCAAAATCCAAGGATGCTCAAGTCCCTTATATAAAATGGTACAGAACAATGCATACAGTCAGCCCTCCCCCGATCTGTGGATTCCGGGGATGGGAAACCCAGAGATGCAAAGGACAGGGATATAGAGGGCCGACTGAACATTAATTGAAAAAAATTCATGTGTAAGTGGACCCATGCAGTTCAAACCTGTGTTGTTCAAAGGTAAACTGTACTTTAGTCTGGGTACATATACTTCTTCAGAATATTTGACTTAGCTTTCAATACATTTCCACATTATAACTTTGGAAAACAAAATTTGGATTCATTTAGTATTTTTCTTAATTTAAAAGATGGTTTTTGCAGTTATAAAATAAATAAATCCTGGGGCTATAAGGTACAGCACGATGACTCTAGTGACTAATATTGTATTATATATTTGAAAGCTGCTAAGAGAGTAGATCTTGAAAAGTTCTCGTCACAAGAAAAAAAATTGTGACTGTGTGGTGATGGATGTTAGACTTATTATGGTGATCATTTTGCGATATATTTGTAAGCATATCCAATCATTACGCTGTACACCATAAACTAATATAATACTATATGTCAATTATATCTCAATGAAAAAAAAGATGGTTTTGGTATATTTAAGTAATATGAACAAAGGTTGGTATTCAGATATTAAAAATTTTTATGATTATTAAATGTATTTCCAAACTAAGTTATTATTTGATTTTGATATTTACAGTCCGGAAGCACTAACATAGAAAGATAAATGATAAACTCTGGCTCTGAGTTAAAGCATGCACTTAGATGAAAAATATTTCTCTTAGGAATTTATACATATTATTAGAGAATGTGTTTCTTCACACTCAGATTAAGAAATTAAACACTGTACTGCAGATCTTCTACCCACATCACTCCTTTCACTTCATTATTTTTTCCTTCTCCAAGCCTGGCTTTTGATGTCATTTCTACGAAAACACCCATTTCATTTTAACATCTCTAGCTCTGATTCCCAGCCAAAAGAAAGCACAAAATTGAAATTAATATTAATTCAGACCAAAAAACTCCACTGATAAATTACCATAGCTGACCTAAAATGTCTCAAATTACATAAAACTGAGCTGTACAGACCTGGCTGAGACACAGCCATGTTATCTGTTGCAGAGTATAAAAAAGCCAGAATTAACATTTGCTAATAATCAAGAAATACCCAAACTCCAACAAATCTGAACCCGTCTACTAAGTTACTCTGTAGCCAGCAATCATGATTGTCCACAAACACGATATCCTAAAAAAGAGCAATGAATCCAATTGTGACCTTACTTTTAAAGTAACTAAAAAACTGTGATTATAACCAGTGCTAAATTGCCCTTAGGACAAGTTTAATTTTGAAAATTCACTCGTTTTATTTTTCCCTGGAAGGAACAGCACTCCAGCGTGTATTACTTTCGGTTCATCCCAATGACCCCGCCCTGAATCCATTTTCCTTTGCTTTATTACTGACACACTGATGCCCAAACTCTGCCCTCCAGACTCTGGGAATTTTAGCTGTAGAGTGGACTGGGGCTTGGAAGATCTAGGAATTATTTCTAGCTCGGCCACCTCCCTCGCTGTGTGAACCAACCGGGTCTCAGTTTCTCCAGCTCTAAAGTAGGGGGGACAAGATGATTTTTCAAGGATCCTGTGAGTTCCGGGGAAGGGCGCGGTCCGGCAGGCTGGCCGAGTCCAGACGTGGTCGCAGTCTCCCGCCGCCGGCCAGACACGGGTCAGGAGGAAGTGGCCAGGAAGGGTTCTGCGAGGCGCAGCCCAGACTGCAGCTGCCCAGAGGTTGGAGGCAACCACTCAGTCAGCATCAGCCGGGCAGAGCCCCAGGTCCGAGCACGGTTCGGCCTGCGGCGGTTCCTCCCTTTCCCCCACTCCCGCCGGGCACTTACGTCCAGCCCCGCCCGTTCAGTCGGTCTGGAGCCCGGTGTCGCGCCGCGCGGGTCCGCTTCACGCTTTCAGATTTTGCCAAGAAAACAAAACAGCGACAGGCCGCTTGGTACCCGGATGGAGCAGTACCGCCCCCACGGCTCGGTCGCGCATGCGGAGACGGAGGGAGGGACGCCAATAGGGAGAAAGGGCGGAGGGATGGCCAGAGGACGCCATGCCCACCGCGCCAAAATCAACGCGCAAGCTCTGGGTGCCAGCTGCAGGGGCTTCCCGCTGTGCTGAGGTCGCTTCTAGACTTCGGAAGTGGTAGTTTGAGTACACCTTTTAAGGTGGGGTGTGAGAAGTCGCTATGTCCTAAACTTGCGACAGGAAGGCGTCTGTTGGGCCTTTGTATCCGTCTTGAGGTGGTAAATTTTCTAGTGCTGGGGTCGGTCTCGCAGTTATCGCAGGTGTGGATGGCAGGGAAAGTGCCCAGGCCCGCGTTGTGCAAAAGGTGGGTGCAGGTTCACGGGCCCACAGTACACAATCATGGCTTTTAAGTCTTGTTTGTTTTCTCAGAGCCTGGCCCCGCCCTCGCCGTAGCTCCGCCTCCAAGAGGAGTTGTTTCAGAGTATGAAATTTTGTGAATTTAACTTTAAATCTAACTTTTTTTATCCCCCAAATTTGACTTTTTAAACACCGTGATCATGTTTTCTAAGTCACTCCCGGGAGGTGGGAACGCCCTGGTTCTGCGTGCGGGGTACTGTGCGTCCCTAATCTCAGCGCCGTGACCCACTTATGGGATTTGACCAGCGGTTCTCAACCTGTGGGTTGTGACCCCTTTGGGGGTCGAAGGACCCTTTCACAGGGGTCGCCGGGTACTCGTATGTGGCCGTATCTGCATGTGGGCCTGGAGACAGATAGAGGAGCGGTGTCTCGGTTCCTAAGACCATGGAAAATATGTGTTTTCTGATGGTCTTAGGCGACCGCTGTGAAAGGTTGAGAACTGCTGATTAATGATTAAGCACAGGAAACTGAAAAGTAACCAAAAACTTCCACTATGAAAACCTCAATGTCACAGGAAAGCAAATCACTCACTCCCCTTTTTAGCAGTCTTGTGTACAAGGTGTGCAAGACATTTAGCAGGTAAGATCTTTTCATTTTCCTTGGTAAGAAGTTTATAGACTGAATGGAATTCGCTAAAATTTACACCTGTACTATTTGCTGTATATGCAGATAGGTGAGCAAAGTCTAGTTTGTATTTGGATAGCAATGATCTTCTGTTTTATGTTTTCTGAGGTTTTATTACAATCTTCATAGAAATCAAGAAGACGATTTGAAACTCCATTTTTCAAGTCAAAGTGCCTAAGAGCTAGGGGGGGACACTTTTTTATTGCCATGATGGAACACATCACTTGTTATACTATAGAAAGCATGATCATTGGTGAGATCTGACAGAATCAGCTCTACACTATAAGGGGCCAACACATCTGTGATCAAAATTTCCCCTTTTGTTTGTCCACAGGACATTTTAGTTGCAACCTCTGAATCAGGACATGTAACTTTATTCAGTCTCATAGAGCAATCAAGGGCGCAATATGATAATGCATGTTCATTTGTGTGGTATGCCCAAGCTAATTCAGCAGCTGCTATTTCTGACTGAGCATTGGTGTCTTTTGGGGAGACAATAGCATTCTGAATTGATTCAAAAGTACTTGCTTGTCTCATCCCAGACTTGTGGGATTCAGCCTCCATATGTGTTTTCACTTCCCCTTTTCCACCATGCCCAACCCAAAATTCTTTTCTGCATACTGTGCAGTATACTCTGTTTGGATTATTTACTTCCCTAATCCAGTTGTATGTGTTCTTCCATCTGTCATTAAAATAACACAGCCGTTTAGCCTTCTTTTTCAGTATTGTCTGGGTCATATAGGCGTTGGTATTGCACTCACTCTCATTTTCATTATCTGAACTCTTAGAAAACATGGTCACAATATTCACAAAGTTAAAATTAAATATTATCTCCATACAAAGCAGATAATTGGATTGGTAAACACTCATGAGTAGAATTTAGGTTACTCTGAGAGAACGCTACAAAGAATCCATTACTGTGAACCACAAATCATGGTTGCCAATATCAGTGGTCAACGGAAGGCAGACAATTGCCATATTGTCATTAAAAATGGTGTCTTCAGCCTCTTTATTGGGAGCCATAATATAGGTTTTGTATCCCCCCGCCCCCCATCTTTGGCACGCATTGCTGAAAACCAAGACTTTTTTTTGCCCAGGAAGGGTTTGTTGGAACATGAGACTTTGAGGGACAGTCCCAAACTGGGATGGTTGGTCACCAAAAATTAAGTTCATTACTGTCCCATTTTTATGAGTGAAAGACAGCATATCTAGTTTTTCAGATCTGTTATTTTGATTTTAGCAATTATATTAAGCTAGACTTTCTGAGAAGAATAGTCTAAGGTAAATCAAATTTAAAAAATGGTTAACCAGGTCTTTCTGGCAGTTTTTCTGAAGGTTTTGTTTGAATAAATCTGGCTTACCTCTGACAGAACCAGTGCTGGAGAGCCAGGATCTTTGAGGGTCTGTGTGTCCCCACTGCATGAGGATCAGACTGCATATGCTACTGCGAGAAATGATCTCTGTTGACAATAGATCCAAAAGAACAACAAAGTCAGAAGAGAAAATCTTAAGTATTGGGTTTGAGGCTGTCATATGTGAACTGCAGGAAAAAATAAAAACCAGTTATTAAAAATAAATAAATCTGGCTTACCTCAAATTTTGCAGTATTTGGTACAGCTGTTCTAGTTTCTTTCTTTAGCTACAGGAACAGTTCTGAGACTAGCTGGCAAGTCAAGGTAGGCTATTCCTAAAGATTTAGCTGCGCTGGCTTTTACTATTTCTAACAGTTCCATTTTATCTACAAAGGACAAAAACAAAAACATTTAATTCTGCAGCTTATTCCAAAAAGGCTAAGATTGAAGCAATATGAAGAATTTATGTTTATAAAATACTTGACTATCGTGTTAATGAATGCAAGTAAATGTAAAAAGGCTGAAGACAGAAAAAGAAAATTAATACCATTCTTCCCACAGTCATTTGTTAACTTATTAGAAGCTGAAGGCAAGATTTGTTAAAGGCTGCTCAGAGCTGGTAAACTAATGTTAAGTCATTAACAGGCATTAAAAAGGTTCCACTAAGAATTTCCGGCTCTTGATTCCTCTACCCTGAGCCATTTAATAGTCACAATTAATCTTTAATCCTGAGTAAGAATGATGTCCATTTAAAAATAGGCTATAGATTGTATTGTACAATTTTGTTCACTAGTCAGTTAATATCCCCCCAAATCCAAAGTTACAGAGATTTCCTGCATCAAAGGAAATCAAAGAAATTAAACGACCCAACAACCTTGGTTCCGTAGCTGACTCATATAATGTCTCCCTAGATGTAAAAATAGGTGAACTTGTGTGCCTCTGTTAACGACAAATGACCGACCCACCCAACTTTTTCTACTTAACCAAATCAGGGTTCTGTTCCGCGACCTCTTCCTGGACCTCCCTCCAATTATAGTGTTCTTTTGGGTACACCATTGGGTTAAAGCCGTAGTACTGTCGCCCTCGCATGATCGAGTAGGCCCTTTTGTAATTCGACCTTCCCTGACAGCTGAACCTGCTGTGGTTTCGCGACCTGCTCCGCCAGTTAAGACCGAGTGTCACCTGGACTTTCTCTGGTGGTGCCTTCTGGAACCAGATCCGCCCCGTCTCCCGGACGATCATGGGCCCGAGAAGCTGTAACCGGACTGAGAGCTTCTGGAAGAGGGGACGAAGTGGCTACAAGTCATTCACGTGGGTAAGACATCGTTATTTCCGGAATTTGAAAAGAGTCACTTCCCAAAACCCCGATTATCTCATAAACAGCGGTTCTTACCAGGAGAACGATTTTGCCCCGGGAGGGGATATTTGGTAGTCTGTAGACATTTTTGGTTGTCACAATTGAGGGAATGACACTGGCATTGAGTGAGTGAGGCCGGGGATGCAGATAAACATCCTACAGTGCACAGGACAGCCCCCCATAAACAAAATGTCAGCAGTGCTTAGGCTGAGAAACCCTGCCTTAAAGCAAGGGAAAAAAGGGTCAAATCCAGCGGTTCTCAACCTTCCTAATGCCGCGACCCCTTAATACAGTTCCTCATGTTGTGGTGACCCCCAACCATAAAATTATTTTCGTTGCTACTCTAT